CAGACAACAAGTGTCACTTGAAGGAGTTCAAGATGACCGGTAATGAGATCCAAAATCTGTGGTCACATTGAGATTTACATTTTCTTCTCTCTTTGAGTTTAGAAAATGTTGTCCTTTGGAATAACACCATAAGGCTTCTTATTGTGCCGTAACTGAAGCCTTTGAGGACCTTGTTTGATAGGAGAACCACGAAGCCTCTCAAAGGGTGCTTTTCGAACGGGAAGTTTAGTCCTAACGTGATTTGCATATATCAAACTTTTGCTGTGTTCTTACGCAACAAAAGTACCATTCCAGTTCTAAAGAATCTATCCTGAGCTATACGTTCGGTAGATTACTTTCTTTTGAGTTTCACTATATTTGATAGTTACCTGTGGTCTTGCCTCAGCTTACTATTCGGTTTTTTTTGTTTTTCACGTATAGACTAGTTTCAGTTTATATCACTCGTTTTGTCCATTTTTGTCCGTTTTCAGTGTGCTTTTTAGTGCTTTTTAAAAAAGGTCTTAGGCTCTTGCAAGCATCTATAACATAGTTTGCTTCAACACCGTTATGAAAAACTCATGCAAACGTCCGGGATGCCGTTTTGCTGTCACAACTGGCATGCAGTGCGACAACTGCAAAGGTTGGTTCCACGAAGCATGCACAAATCTGACAGCAACTGCTTACAACAGACTCAGCAAGTCAGACCAAAAGTGGGTATGTGTCACGTGCAGCACGGACGCAGTAGTCTTGCTGAGTAACATCATTGTCCTACTGACAGGTCTTCGGAACAAGCTGTCAGTTAACTTGGAATACGATAGTAAAAAAACCGATATACAAACAAGAGCGTGTAACGGACTCAAAAATAGGGATGTCGATAGGTATACCATCGATGGAGCATCCATCAACACTAATGACGACGTGTCGAGGCTCAGTACCATCATTACGTCGACGGTACTGAACTCCCTAGGCAAACTCGGGTCTCCCAGCTCAGGGTCCCTGAACACAACAGTGGTTCCCAAAAACCCTGCAGGTGATTCGACCCACGTTAAGAGAGCCCAAAAGAACCAGGCATCACCGCCTAAGCCGAGCAACCCAAGTGTTGCTGCACGGAAAATAACTGGTAATTTAGTCGCACAGTCTACCCCCAAGACTGTTCGTCCGGTCAATAAAGAGCCCAAGATTCATAAACGCACACTGACCTCCAAACAACAAGTTATTAAACCTGAACCCATCATGAAGCCTGGTAAATTAACAACAGTTCGTGACGATTCTCTCATTATCATGAACCTCGTTGACAATCCTGATCTTCCTCTCAGTCTGCAGGACAAAAACGACAGGATGCTGTGGGGTGAATTGAACAAGAAGCTCGAACTTCCTAGAATAGAGCCTTTGACGGTCACCCGGCTCACTCGAGGGAAGGATTATAAGCATCTAAATCACCCGAGGCTTCTCCGAGTAACACTTAAGAATGCTACCGACGTAGAGGACGTCTTGCTAGCAAGTCACTTGCTGAAATCAGATGGTAACGTAAGAATATTGCCCGACATACCGTACTCTGAGCGCAATATCATACGAAACGTCCCTAAAGAATCTCGCGAGAAGTTTTTCCGCGGAAGAAACATCATTGTCCAAGGTATACCGGAAAATGCAGACCCTACTCAATCAAATTCTGACATCAGAGAATGGAAATTCATCAAACAGTCCTTGAGGCTCAAATACATACTGACTCAGCATGTGACGAGACTAGCCAAGAAGGACGGTGATCTTAGACCCCGTCTAATGAAGATAACCTTCCCATCTTCCCACATGGCGGCTGCAGTTCTAGAAGCATTTCGTGCTAATAGACGTCGATTGCCACCTGGAATCCACATGCACCCGGATAGGCCATACGAAGTTAGGACCAAGAACAAAGGCAAGTTGGAGCTGACCATTCCACTTGTGGACTGTCTAAACGATAAAAAAACGTGTAAAGGACAGGGCCTACCACCTCGGCAAACCTCATATAGGTGGGCTACCTGTCCATTCACATAAGGTTCATACAGAAAAACAGGACGAAGCTCACGCGTTCCAAATTGAAAGCATAAACTGCTTATATATGAACGCCGCGAGTCTACCAAACAAACTGGATGAATTACGTGAACCTAGCAACGCTAATACGGCTCATCTGATAGGAATATCTGAAACCTGGATATCTTCTCAGTTCTCGGACCAAGAGTTAGCATTACCTGGGATGATTTTGTTCCGCAACGACAGAAAAACAGGAATTGGGGGCGGAGTAGCCATATACATAAGCTCTTGCTTGGAGGTGCACCAGATTCACAACCTCGAGTTTAACAATCTTGAGGAATCCATATGGTGCTCTGTAAGATTGTCTAGTACTTCCAGGTGTCTAGTCGGAGTCATTTACAGGAAGCCAACTGCCGACACCGAGTACGATAGTCGTATGCTGGAAGGACTATCCCGCTCTATCCGTCTCGGTTTCACACACATCCTGATTCTAGGGGACTTTAATCTCCCTAGAGTCAACTTCGCGGAACACACGTACACTGGAGGCGACAACTCAACTGAAGCTCGGTTCTTCAACCTCATCGATAACTTGGGCTTATATGAAAATGTGAGGTCGGCAACTCGTTGGAGAAACAGTCAGACACCATCGCGCTTAGACTGTGTATTCACTAACGAAGAATTCCTAGTCGACAACCTCTCAATCCTGGCTCCTCTGGGAAAGAGCGATCATGCCGTCATAGCCTTCAGTTTTGTCATCAAAACTAAGCTAAGGTATCCCAACAATAATTTGCGTTGGAATTTTAAACGGCTGAATGTGCCAGCTCTACATGACTATCTACAACAGGTGGTTTGGGATGTTCACCCTCAACTCGATGTGGATGGTCATTGGGACTTCTTACTGCACACGCTCTTCTGTGCTACAGACCATTCAGTTCCTCAAACGGTTCTCAAAAGCTGCAAGCCACCTACAGTAATCAAGAACCGTACCCTTCGCCTGCTAAGCCGCAAAAGGCACTGTTGGGCGGAATACAAACAAACTAATAACGATGGAGCGTATAGGCAATATAAACATATCAGGAACATATGCACGAAGGCTATAAGAGAAGACAGGCTTCAGTACCAAACAAAGCTTATGGACAAATTCGCCTCTAACCCTAGAAGCCATACTGAGGGAGGCAGCCTCAATCCTGGCAACGCCGCTTAGCGTGATGTTTTCACACTCGCTTAGCCGAGGCAAATTACCGGAAAATTGGAAGTTGGCTCACATCACACCAATTTTCAAAGGTGGTCGACGCAATGAACCTTCAAGTTATCGACCGGTGGCTCTTCTGTCATTACCTTCAAAACTCATGGAGTCCATGATATGCGACGGTTTAAATGACTATCTACTGTCCTTAAATTTCTTCTCACCCCAACAGCATGGTTTCAGGAAGGGTTACTCTTGTATAACCAACCTGCTGACTGCGGTGGATAGATGGACAAGGATCCTCGATTGCAAGGGAAAGGTTGGTGTCATTTACCTTGATTTCTCAAAAGCTTTTGATAAGGTTAACCACTTGTGACTTATCAACAAGCTCAATCGACTAGGTATCAAACCACCTCTAATCGATTGGCTTACTTCATACCTAAAAAATCGACACTTTAAGGTTAGGGTTAATTTCACTTTATCTCAGGCTATGGAATGTCCTAGTGGGGTCCCCCAGGGCTCAGTACTAGGGCCTCTTCTCTTCTTGATCTACATAAATGATCTTCCTCAACAGGTAACGTCAGACTTATTACTTTTTGCCGACGACGTGAAACTTTGGAGAGAGATACGCAACCAAGACGATACACAGGCACTTCAGGAGGATCTGACGCGACTTCAAAGTTGGGCAGACGATAACGGACTTACCTTTAACACTTCAAAGTGTAAAGTAGTCCATCTGCGACATGTCGCAAACTACAGTTACAACTTAGGAAACTCCTCTCTAGTAGTATCCCAAGTCGAAAAAGATTTAGGAGTCCTGGTGCCCCATGACTTAAAGTCTTACGCTAACTGTGACAAAAATGCCTTCCGAGCAAACCTTGCATTGGTAACGTTGAGGCGCATTTTTGGCCAGTTTGACGGAAGAACTTTCCGCACAATCTTCAATAGTTTCATCCGTCCCCATTTAGAGTACGGAAACATAGTACTCCCCCCCTCACTCCATAAGGACAAAGTCACTTTGGAGCGTATCCAACGGCGAGCCACGAAATCAGTTCGAGGACTCAAATCTAAACCATACGAAGAACGCCTCCATTCACTAGACCTTTACCCACTAGAATATAGGCGTCTTAGAGGTGATTTATTAATGGCTTATAGTATTCTTAACACTTCTGGACATCCTCTTAAACACCTACTTAAGCTTAGTTCGAATAATAACCTAAGGGGTAACACCCAGAAACTGGAAACACAACATAGCAAGACGGAATGTAGACACAACTTCTACTCCTTAAGAGTTGTCAAAAGCTGGAATTCGCTGCCAGCCGAGCTAGTCCAAGCGACTTCTCAGGAGTCCTTCAAGAGGCAACTTGACCTATTCTTAAGGACCAAGGACTGCATCACACAATGATTTACCAATTTCTTTTCCTCTTTTGTTGTTAACATACCTAGGTTCCTGCCTGGAGGATTTGGTGATCCCCTGCTACTAGACACGGAAGCCTGTTAAGCGAAAGCTTCTTCTATTCCGTCCACAACCATTTGAACCATTTGAACCATTTGAAATCATTGCTAGATCCGACTCGACAACGATCTCAAACTAACCACTAATCTGGGATACTTGATAGAAGAATTTGACTTGTCCGAAAATTTAACTCTGGTTAAAAGAAACGAGCTTCTAGATCAGACTACATATTTACGACCAGCTAAACAAGCATCTAGTCCATAAAAATGCCACTATGACATTGGATATGTATTGAGTGTTGAATGAGGTTGTTATCAGATATGCGACACTGAAAAATTTTGAAATAAACGTTATTTAGCCATAAACTCAACACAATGACATGGTTTTTTGAAATCAATTTGACTAACTTTAGCCTGGCGGCTTTCTTGAATTTCAGCGGTTTGTCCTAAAAAGCATGTAGTGAATTCTTCTGATTGGGAATCCTAACTCGCATCTTATATTTTGTAATGAACAATAACAAAACACACTCATAATGATGCATTTCTCCCCGTAATATGTCTTTAGAAAGTGTGGAATGTAATGATACGTGTGGAGTGTTTCCCCCTAGAAAGAAGATGTGTTCAGATCAAAACGCTGAGCTTTTCTCGCTGGAGGAGCTTGGACAGATACTTAGTTTATGCTCTTATAGTCAGGATCTCGGGGTCGTTAATCAGGAACTGGATTTGCTGGATGATATATGTACGAGTTATATGGCGGATAAAATTGCCGGACTTACAAATGGACAACAACTCACCTCCTGTAATTTTGCACGTGTTGCGGATTTTACACCCGGTACTCACTCCATTTTTATTCCACATCCGAGAGAAAATAAAATTGTGCAAGATACTCAGGTTTCTGAGGAATGTAAATTACCACCTAAGAATGAAGCTGTTCCTTCCTGCCAGGAAATCGTACTAGATGCTAAACGAGAGGCTTCTGTTTTGCAACAAGTATCAAGACTCCATAAAAAGGGCCTGTGGTCGTCTGATCGTTTACCAAAAGTTATGGAGCCGAAATGTGGAAGACTTCACTACACGCATCTCCTAAATGAGGCGATTTGGTTGTCAGTTGATTTTCATGAAGAAACAAAGTGGAAGAAATATATGGCAAGTAAGGTAAGCAGTTTACACTTCATATTTCTTGTGCAAACGCTTGATTGATATGAATCCATCCGTATTAGTATTTTTTTGTCGTTTGTCTCAATAATTGTTATCGATTACCTATAGATCTGATGAGCGTTGTCGACATAATTGTCAGTATGAATAAATTGCGTACAACTTGTCGTGTTTTTAATCGATTAGGGGATCACTGATAATTTCATGTTTTAATTGCCTTTCGGAATATCGTCTAATTAAATAGTTCAACATAATACATGTTCACTACATCTCAGTAAAATGATAGCTATCAAGTGATCCAAGCCGAGATTATATTTTTGAGATCATAAACTATATTCTTTAGTACACAGATCAACTAGTAATACTTATGCATTTGTGTAATTACAAGTTCTTAGCGTTATTATGACCACCAGAATAAAAAGTCGTCCTCATGTTGGAAGATTTATACTGTTTCCCAGTCCATATATTTCTACCGGATGTTTTTTTTGACACATGGCTCTTTTGTCACTGGAATATAAGTTTCGGTCTTTGTAGAGAAGCTATCCACGATAACTGAATAAACTAAAATCCAGATTGATTTCTTTGTGTTCATGATTATTGTGACATAATACAATTCTCTCTAGCCACTTGCGTACGGTCTCTCCTGAACATTACCTGCTTTCCTACCTATCATTATATAAGCTAGGTCACATGTTATTTTCACGTAAACGCTGTTTGATTACTTACGGACTAAAAAGTATTTGGCAATTTGAACTTCGGTTGTGAAAAAAGTGCAATCCACTTTTCACCGTACGATATTTAGACGTATTAGAACACTCGTCCTTTGTAACTGAGTATAACGTGTTTTCTTGGTTGGCTGTTTTAGCATTTATGCATACAACAGTTTGATTAGAAACCTTTCAATCACACTTTCCACTGAAATATATTTTCTGCGCTTTTATTCAAAGGGATGTTTTTTAATAAATTCCTTGTTGAAAAAATGACGAGTTTAATCGTTTTTTCGCTCGCTTTTCTTAGTGATTACGTTTGTCTCTTTTTTAATTTAGCTGGCTCGAGCCGCGCAACTTTACCTTATTACGCGCCATGAATGGAATCGACAGCTTCGGTGTTTTGAAGAGCAGCTAAGAATGGGAAATGCTGCTCGTGTGGCAAAGATGATCAAGGATTGGTGGGGCAATGTAGGCCAAGTAAGTCAACTCTTGTTTTACATCCATCAGCACAAAGAGACGTCCAGTCGTCAGCTCATTCATTTCATCATAAATTATCCTATCCAGTTTTGTACGTAGTCGCATTAGAAGTTACTTAGTGTAGTTGATGGTCTATGTGGACGCCGTGATGGGCTTACGTATCTGACTTCTCATCCATGTTCTAGGCTCACATTAAATGACAAATATCATGCACCAGTAATTTTACAGGATCAAAATGAATATCAGAAATAAGCGTTTTAATTATTAAAAGGTTTCTAGACAAAAAACGATAACCAAAACTTTGGGTATTTTGTTTTCAAGACGACCGATAATTGTTTATTCTTCAGATTTACGGACTTTTACATATTTTGTGTTACGTCACTATGTTACGTTTGTTCGTTTTTTTGCTTATTTGTCCTAATTGTAATATTGTAAGTTTAACATGCATAACAGTATTATACAAAGTTTATAAGAAGTCTATGAGAAAGGACAAAAACTCTTGTGATAATCACAGTGAAATCTTGACTAATGTAGTATCTAACTTGTTAGCCTCTCAAATCGTCCAACACTTGTCTGATGCTCGTAAGTCAAACTCGAAAAAAAGGCTGGTTTCATACCTGGATGTGGTTGTGTTGATTAAATATTCGTTTTCCGTTAGGTCTTATAATGTAGACGTACTTACCGACGTCCGACAATAGTCACATTTCTTGACTCAAGAGTAGCATTGAGTTCAGTAAACCAAGAAGTTTTGTGAGGATGCTTGTCATTAAAAGGTATACCGAAGATGTACATAAACCTGATGGCTGAATTATTTTCTAGTGATTAACTCACTTTTTATTTCGCTTCAGGACTTGGATCTTGTAAGTTTAAAAACTTCACAGAGACGTTGGGATTATGCCTATAAAGTGAACCAACATTCTATAGCTCACTTCTCTGATATGGGTCCAAGCTGGTTAGCTTCTGTAAATTTTGACCTAGAAGATGCAGGTTTCCACGAATCTTCAGATACGTCACATAATCTGGATGATGAAAGAATCATGCAATATATTGGCGGCGATGGAGATATTGATGATAAAGATTGGAAGCCAGATATAGAAGATGAAAGCTCTACTGGACCACATAGTTGTAGCCGGTCAACTAGCAGTAGTCTGGCAGCCAGTTTTGTGGATGATAGTGATATGAGTGGTTTTGGAGTCGCTGTTTATTCACCTAGCGATCTTTTATCTCCAGAAATCAACTTGACTTCGTGTACCAGAGCTTGCAATCAAGTTAGCAAACATCATGGATCAGACAGAAGACGAAAGAGTCAAAGCGAGCATTCATACACTTCCGACTGTGGACATTGGGAAGATGCTTCTGAAGAGACTCATGACATTACTTCAGAAGCTAGGGTAAATTCAAATTCACCAGAGTCCTGCGACCAAAGTGTTGAAAGTAATGAGGTGCAAGGTTTAATATCTGACATGGAAGTTCCATTGAATCGCTTTCTTGAACCCTATATCGATCAAGGATGGTGCATCAAAAATAGAGTCACATCTAGGTCTGGATATCGTTCTTCAGATTCGGATATTTCAAACTGTGGACGTGATTGTTGCTCCTTCGATATGGTTTCTCATGTAAGCTAACTTTAGTTTGTGATAGGTTTATAGTCTTCTAAAGGTAGAAATAATCAGGTCTAGAATTATTTCTTTTTTAATTTCCTCTATTTTCAAGGTTCAGTGTATGCGAATACTTCTAAATCTCCATAAAAAAACAGTAAGTAGTTTAAACAGCTAAAATCGCGGGCAACTACCAACCTTCCTATCACATAATGTGTGGAACTCTCCGTACAAACTCGACTTCAGCAACAAAGTACTTTTATCTTTTTATTCAATTAGTATGTCTGACCACTCATTTTGATGCTTAATCTTGGTTGGAATAGCAGTAGGTTAGGAACAACCTAAGAAGGGTTAAATCAGGATATCTTTGGATGTATCACGATCATTTGTCCCTTAAGGCATCATTGTGTTTTGCGCGACAGATGCCACATCAGGTAGCCACAGTTTTGTGCCTGACACTCTGGGAGTATGGTTATATGAAATTATTGTAAATAGATTGTGACGAAATCTCAGCACGGATTCAGAGAGCTCATTTGGCTATTACCGACGTACGTCACCTATGGCGAAGGTGAGATATCCGTCTATCAATTAAGGGACGAGTATACTGCGCGGCAGTTCGTTTTGTTCTACTTTACGGATGCGAAACATGGTCATTGAGAGTAGAAGATACTCGTAAGCTACTAGTATTTGACCACAGATGCCTTAAAAATATTGCTGGCGTCTGCTGGGATCATCGGGTATGTAATAGTGAGATTAGACACAGGGCATTAGAGAATGATGGTAAATGAGTTGATGAGGTTGTGAGTCTTCATCGACTAAGATGGTTGGGCCACGTGTTATGTATGCCTGAACACCGATTACCACGACGCGCAATGCTGACTAGTTTTGGGAATGGTTGTAAGAAAGTTAGGGGTGACCAAACCAAAATGTGGCATCAGTGCTTGAAGTCACAAACTTCAAGTCTTAACCATGTTGATAGATGCAGACTACTTGGTTGGTGTCCGCGTGACTTTCGTAACCAATGTCTGGAGACTGTGGATGACATGGCTCAGAATCGATCACAATGGCGTCGGTGTATACACTCTGTCTTCTCTTAAACCATGAGATTGAAATTGCTTTATATCTTTCTTTCTACGAACTAATTCTTTCTTCCTGTACTCAATCCGTATACGCAATCTTTCTTTTATATATTACCACCACTGAATTAAGTACTTCTATGAGTCCGGTGTTCATGTTGTTGTGCTAATGAGGTATTGCAACCTGGACCGATGCATGTATGTGCCTGGTCCTAAGTTGTAACTGACTGAGTGATGTATCATCGATTGGAAGTAGGACGCCTGCCAGCAGAAGATTGAATTGAAGAGAATAGGGAGCGGCAAAAGAGTAATTGTAATATCAACAAGATCAGAAGAATCATGAAGTACGTACATGACAAATGAATGAATGTGTACAAATGACATATTTAATGTATAGTTTTCACGTCTTACGAAGGCCCTTTGTAATTTCACGTTGAACGAAAATTGATTTACCGTATGTGAATTCCCGTTTACTACAATATAACTAACCGATTAAATTTCTAGATATCAACTTTTGCTCAGACAGACTAACAGTAATAATTTTTGCAACTATCTTTGTACATTATTGAAACCACAAATGTTTGGTATCGTATTGGATTGTTACATAGTTATTAATAGTTTCCTTGTCTTGTCGTCCAACATTCACCAGTGACTATCGCCAGGATACAGTTGTAAAAGCTTTCTATCTGCATTTCTTAACTGAATATAACATTCAAGCATTTAACGATTTGTCTGGGTATTAATTCTTGAAAAAAAGCACTTATCAAATTTCTCTCATGGTCAGCTCATATATGTGATCCAATTTTTTGGCGTGGGGTTAGTGCTTCTCGATTCACTTGAGATTTAACATCTTAGCTGCATTGCTTAAGGATATAGACATGAGTTTCTGAAGAATCATAGGGTTTTAAAGCCACAGACAATTTGATATGTATCAAAAAACAAGAATAGTTTTATTTGGTACATACGAGGGAAATATTAACTGTTCGTTCATTTCACGATGCAATGGACGCTACAGTTTGTTTTATGCAACAACTTTAACGAGTACATTGCAAAAATCAGAAAATAGTTTACGTTGTTTACATGAAAACTAATTCATGTTTGTATTGTTAGTTATGAAGACATTATGACTTTTATATTTTATCATTAGCATGTTCAGAAAGAAATATCACTTCTTCAGAATGAAGCGGACATGCCTTTACATCAAATACTTCCTAGTGGTTACATAGATTTCCTTTCCAAAATTGATGAGCAAAAATGTTCTACTGTGTATAATCAACTTGATTCACAAAGTAATCATCATATGAGTGGATCATCCAAAATTGGTAGCAAAACAGATGGGAATGATGGTGATTCTTTATCTGCCACAAATAATACTTTATGCTTGGATAATGGTGATGGGGATCTCATGCAACTTGATTCGGTTAGCTCTAAATCTTCTGGAGTTTCATCTTTGACAGATCATAACCACAGTGAGTGTGACAACTTACCGTCATCGAAAAGTTCATTTCATATGAATTCCCGTACAGTTCTTGCACCCTGGTATTCTTCCCTCCCGCCTTCTACACCTAGTCGATTGGCAGACCTACATGCAGCAGCACTAGAATTACTCCCCCTAAAATTAGTATCAATGGCAAGTACTGGTTCATCTCGTCTTATTCCCGAAGTCTGTACTCTTCCCTATAGTCCAACGCTTCGAATCCCTTGTCTTCCAACTCCTAGTCTTGGTGAGTTTGATTAAAAGCTTTTTCAACATTATTAAGTAGAATTTTATGTAACACTAGCTGGTTTGAGAGTAGGGTAGTTTTACTACTCGCTCTTCCGTTAATAATATGAAAATAATCTGATGAAAAGCAGCTGTAACAAAATTATTATTTACCATACATTTGAATTAATCTTCTTTACTTGTTCAGCTTTTGTGTTTGAAAAATGTTTTTATTAAGAAGCATTTAGACTCTCATTGCTCTTAACTTCTTTTATAACAACTTATTGATAGACCATTTCATGCCTTTGTCAAATAAACCTATTCTTTATTGGGATATCCAATTTAGTTCCCTGTTTATGAATTGTACAATTTCATTGTAGTAACCAGGTTTCCAACTTATTTTTAGGATCATTTGAAAATTTATTTTCATCTGCTTTGTTCTTTCAGGTGCGGCTGTCACCTGGATGCGACATGCTTTTGCACGATGTGTTCCAGTGCTCTTATTAACTAATAGTCATTTGTCTGGTGATGCTGAGTTAGCTGTGGCTGCACATCTCGGACAACTTTCAGTCGTTGATCCTCGACATTATTTACTTTCAGAATCGTCTGGTGAAATTTGTAATAATACAGTCACGGGTGTGTGGGGTCCTCATTTAATCGTAACTCCATGTTTATGCCTGCCGGCTTGGCGGAGGCGTTTGCAAATGTGGTGCCCTGGTTTTCGTGTTGTATGTTTGGGTCTTGGTCGCAGAAGTGAACGATGTGGTACTGGGCATCGCCTTCGTGACAGTGTAGCTCGAGGTTCTGTAAATATTTGTTTGATTAGTTATACTGCTTTACGCTTAAAACCTAGTCGTTTCACACGGATTCAGTGGAGTTCAGTCATTTTTGACCAGGTGAGATATCAGTCTGGTGATGAATATTGTTTATTATTCAATCAAATATTTACAACTTTTGTGAATTATAATTTCTGGCTTTTTTTGCTCAATAGGTGTACGTTGTGAAATCAATCTTAAATGTGTGTATTTAAGTGATAAATTGCATTTAACTTAATAATATATTCTTTGAAATTGAGTGGACCAAATATTCCATTAATTATATGAACTAGTCAGTGAGTCAAATGTAAATACTGGAAATGAATATGAATACATATACCAGAATGGGCGGTTTATGGAGATCGTATTAATTTTATGGTTGAATTCATGAGTCGATTTAAAGCTAGGTCATCGTGCAAAACCTTGAAGCACTAGACAGCCATTTCGTCCTTGTATGTGACTCATTAACCATGTGTTATAAGACAGTTACTCACTGAAGACAATGGTGGATGGTCGCACAATATCATGTATTGCTTGAAGCTAGACATTAACATCGTCGGATGCCGGCTCATTGGTCCAGAGGTTAAATGTTCGCGCGCAAAGCCGAAATCAAGCAATTGAATATACAGGATAGCTATTTATGAGTAAAAATAGACGGATAAAAGTAACTCATCGGCGTTGTGTTCATGAAGGCAAAAGTTTTAAAACTTTGGCAACGTATTTTAAAATACACAAACATGCATCTTTTCTAAAAATAATTACAACGTTATCAGTATAATCGTCTTGCATTAAATTAGTTTAATGATAAATTGTTATGTCCCGACAAAAATAATGAATAATAACTTATAAGATCCATTTATAGACCAGTACTAAACGTATATTTCTATTTTATAATTATTAAGTAAGTAAACTATGCATATTCATATTCCCTTTATTATAAGCTTTATCTTGACCGATAAACTATTATTATACGTTTTACCGTTCTTGAGTTATACCCAGTATATTAATTACTACCTCCCTCATTCACAACCACATCTGGCTAATTCTTGTACAAATGTTGTCTTATATTTTATTGGTACGTTGTGGTCTGTTTGATTGGTATATAGACTCAGTATGTTTGAAATATAATGATTCATACCGCAGAGGCTCGGATTGGTGTTCTGGACTTAACTGGCTAGGCTTGATAGGAAGCAGGACTAATCAGGACTCTAGACTGCTCGCACGTGTTTTGCGCGTACTTGGTTCGATCGGTTATTCACTGCTCTCTAATCGGCGGTCAGAAGTTATAACATAAATATTGAATGATGCTTAAACTACATTTAAACATTGGGATTTTGAATTTCAATGTCAAATGTCTGATGAAAATTGACAGGAATAACGCATCAATCCAATTTTCGATATAATTTTAAGTAACATTATAGCATTTTATAATACCGAATTCCCTAGTCTCACTCCACCAACGTTTTTAGGTTGGCCGGTTTTATCATTAGTCCTTGCACAAACCGTGTTTCTCAAAACCGAGTAAATAAACCTGTTATTTAGATACAACGGAGCGAATAGTATGAAATTACAACTTTTGGAGCTATGATACGAAGGATTATTATTTATATTTTTGAACTTTCGTTTGACCTAGATATTGTTGTCACGTCTTATCTTTTTAAACTTAACATCAATTGATTATTTCTATATTACCACTGTTCAAGTCATATATGAATAAGCTATGTATATAGTGCGGTTTCTTAATTGTGTTGCCTTGTGGTCAGGTATTTCATGTATTATTATTATGAGTTTTGAGTCATGATTGGATTGAATACAATAGAGAATTAATTTACTTTCTATCTTCGTTTTCTGATTGGACATTGGGCTAGACAGAACTCGAAGCCCAGTAAGCGTTAAAGTTTTGTTAGTTGTTTATTGATTGATGTGTCCATTGGAAAATAGATCATCGGTCCTACTGTCAGTATTAATAGATTAATCGATACTCAGAATACATATCATACAAATCTGGTCATATAATTATAGTACAACCACATGTACCCTAATAAAATACATGAAAGCTGTTCATCTTTCTTCCTGTCAAACCAATTTGGATTTAGCTACTAGTGAATAAATGCGGTTAGAGAACTGCTTCAGCAGTTTACAAAACTAATTTACAGTTTATCTATTTAATGCACACAGTAAGGCATAAAAAAGAATGTCCCACACCTATAATTCGATAATATTGTAAAGAGAAATAGAAGGATAAGGCAATATAATCAACAAACAAATAAACAAGACTAGGGTCATCTTTCAAATATTGCACCAGAGGTCAGGATTTTGTCTGGGGCTTTCGGTAATATATATCCATATATGCCTAGGTTTGTATAAATGAATGAATGACTCGGTAGTAAATAATGAGTAGTTTGGGTTAAAAACTTTCATTCAGTTAGCAACATCAGTCAATACTTAGTATAGACAAGTACAAAATTTAGCAATTTAATTTGGCTGGACGACTAAAAATATTTCAACCAATAAGGAAACAGTTTATGAGCAACCAATGAAATAAATGAGACTGCAATAAAAACCAGTTACTCATAAATAACATAATTGTTATACACAAATGTTACAAGTAGTAATTCACCTAAGGTACAAATCGGTTAAAAAGAACCAATCGAAAAAGATTTCTTTGATCATAAACGAATTATCTCACTTTTATGAAAGATTCGATATAAAATCCTAGGAGGGTCACCATTGACTTATATTCTGTGCTGTGTCTCATAACGTCTCAAGCCATTATTGTGTAATTTTTAGGAGACTCCGACCGTGAAGTTGTGAAGAATCGATTGATACCAGGTTTATATAGCTATATTTCATAGCATGTGGTATGTTACAGACTGACTACCTTTCTGCCTTTTCCATCTGTCCCCAGCATAGGCAAATAATGCTCAGGGCTATCATTCTCCAAAAGTGACCAATTTTTAAGATAACGGCACTCATTGAATTATCATAACTGCACTCAACACACACGTTCCCGAACGTCAGAGGTACTAACTTGGTATTACCATTGGCCCCAGGTGCTCTAGTACGACCGACGGTGGGGAGGGTTAGCTCTCCCTCTCTAAGTGCTCATATGACCACGCGTATACAGCCGCTGCCAGGGAAATCCTACTCCCTGCCTTCTCGTGGCGGAAGTGTTGTTTACGAAATTGAGAGGACGGGAAGCGAGTGTTTTACTCTTTAACCGGGTCGGTGGATGTAGGGACTCACCTAGGGTAGTTGGAAAACCCTGAATCCAAACCAATAGTGCACATGTGCTTCATGATCCTGAGGGCACAAATGGCGTATGGGTCAATTGTTTGTCACCGGCTACCATAGGACTGCATCTCTTAATGTTGCTCGATTGCCTTGTGAATCAGACCTTTAGGTCAAAGGCTCCGGGCGTTGTCATTTAAGAAAACCACCTGATTCGATCTGGGTACCCGGGCAACTTTATTTGCAGTTTAAGTCGTTTAGTTTAGGGTTAGCTGACTGATTTTATCCCCACCCCATAGGATCGATCTCTGTGTGTGTGACAGAACACAAATTAATTAATGAATGTAATCAAATCTTACCTGCTTCGGCCTGGGCACCTGGGCAGTATCACAGCCCACACACAAATCAAGTGACTTGTTTGACGCATATGTATTCAATGCTCCTTTGTACCAATATTTATGTGTTGAAATAAATAAATGAATATTACCATTGAGTGTGAGCAGTCCTCCAGAGACAATAATGACCGAACATAGTCGCTGGATAACCACATCTCAAAGGAGCAAGGTTTCACAACGCACAATGTGGAACTGCTTTCAACTACTTGTTATAACCCCAGCCTTTTACAGCTAGGTTGTAGTCAAGATGGAACGAAATGACGAACCAGAATGGGATAAGCTACTTGAACATTATGTTGATTGGTCTTATTTGCCACAGCACCACCTGGACTCACTTAAGGAATTTATGTTTCTCCATTACATTTTCTACCGGTTTAAATAGTTTAATCATATTTTATTTTTGTTTCCCATTCACAGATTCACCATATTATCTTACAGTCTTACAAATCCATTAATCTGGTTCATTCAGATCCTACTAGTCGTCAACCAGCTATCAGTAAGGCGAGTTCTCGGGATCACGACACCGAAAACGCACCAGTTTATTGTGAAACTGATAGTTTCCTCGATAATATAAGGGAGGATGTTAATACTAAGATGGCGATAGACCGTTGGTCATTTCCCAATTCATCAAAAACACTAATTCACCGAAAGTCAGAATGGTTTGATTTGATATTGAACAGATTAGGCCGAAATGGACATCGTATATTGATTAGTTCATCTTCTGATATTATTTATCATAAACATAGTCCCCATCTACTTGATCTTAGTAAACTGCTGTTGTTGAATAATTTACCAACTGAGGAAAACTATGGTTCTTGGCTCAACGATTTCTTTCAGACTGTTAGTCTTCCATCACGTCAGGGTCGCTCGCCTAGTTTGTTAACAAAACCATCGAAGAAGCAACTTTTAAAGGTGAGTAGTACGTACTTGGTATATAAATGTATACTATCAATGAATCTTTAACTCAAAGGTCAAATTACTAGACTTTCAATATTTGTGTCCCATGTTCGAAACACGTTTCGGGGAATTCTCTTTCCTAATAATTGCCATTCATCGGCTGAACATTAATTTTCACGATTAGTCACTCAGTCACAATCAACACAAAAGCTAGCAAAGACATGCGTTGGCTCAAGCTATCATACCGCATTATCGAGAAATAAAATTAACGAGAATCGCAAGAAAGATAGAAATAATGTGATAGTAATGACAATTGGAAAGATCGACCACTAAGAATATGATATGAAAAGATAGAAGAAAGAAAAGGATGTATATTGCAAATCGAAATTGGGAGGAATGTGAACATTGGATTGAAATGTGCCATTGTAACCGATTCTGACTCATATTACCTAACTTCTCCAAAAACTAATCTCGGTTATCACACATACCTCGATCACGTTTTCTGTACACGTCAACACGGCTCAGACCCACATTCATTAATTTCATGGACTGACACTGTGTCGTGTTCGCCATCACTAGTTATTTCAGTGACTATAATCCAACTTATCCATACCGTGAGGTGTAATGTTTGTTTGCATCAATGGCTTTCTAAAACAGTGGTTGTATCTATTTAAACTAATAATACAATCAATCTGTGGGATTGTGTTTAATGACAGTTGGTTGTCGGATGCAATCACTTGCAACCAAACTAGAGTTCATGTCGTTTTATGTAAGTGCGTATTGACAGTCTATTTCAAAAAATAATACAGTTCCATTCAAATAAAGCTTATTTGACACAAAAATTGGTAAGAGCACCACATGAAAGGGAAGAGGGAAGATCATTTACTAATAACAGGAATAGAAATATTAAGGGATAGTTTAAATATAGATTCAAGGTAGATAGATTCAACTTATTTAAAATAGAGATTTTAGATCATGTTCAATCGTGTCTCAACCCAGTAAGTTTTGGAGTCAATAAGATTTCATCCAAAAAATCTCGACAAATCAAGACACAAAGAGTACATAATTATCGTGTAGTAAACTGGTCTAGTCTCTGCTGCTATCATCCACTTCTATTGATTGCAAACAGTACTTAGATGACCTGTAAAACGCTTGGCATTAAGTAGATTTATGTCACTGAATTCTATTTTTCAGGTTGATATCACCGGTCAAATAATAGTTGCAGTTATTCCCAAACACACGGTACCAAACCATAGTATGACTTACAATGTATCGGCACGTAGTGATAATCAAATACACTTAACTGTTTAATAACATTGGTTTAAAATGATCTAAGTTGATTAGGCGAAGTAAAGCATACCCATTACTAGTTATTTTTAATATTTGGTTCAATAGAGCGGTTGTCTAGTGGTTAGGTCGTTTGACTTTCAACTACTTATTCTCGAGTTGAAGTCCCGTTCCACCTATTTCGGCCTGGGTAACCGCCTAGTATCATTCGACCCCGTCAATTGTATCAGTTTTAATATTAAAACTGGGAAAAGTTTCTGGAAGGATAAACAGTTGACTAGTGTTAACAGGTTAGTTTTTTAGATGGGTAAGTTCAAATAATTCCTCTTGCAGATGTCACTGAATGTCGCTCACGTTCCTCTCCCACTTTTCTCTTTGTACTACTGAATATAGTTGAATTTTGGTTTTCTCTTATGTTCTTCGACCGATCAGTTTTTAGATCCGTTTGTCATCCGTTTCGACGATGAAGACGAATGGGACTCACTTATCAATGATGAAGTTATTGAATGCCGTATGTCCTCTGTACAACAGAAACTTCATGATAAAATATTGAGTACAAAAGCGTAAGTTATTGTTTATTCTATCGTGTTACGTTTTTGTTTTATGATATATCATTATTGTCCGGTTCAGGTAGACTGTTGTGCTGATGATCAGAATAACCTGATTCAACTCATTTACCAGATACAGATTTGTGTACTTGGTCTCGATCCGTAATAAGTATGAGGGCTGATGATACTTCTCTCTTACTGCTATGTTTATAAATTGCTTGGATTTGTATCGACGTAAATTTTATGGTTCAGATTTTTAGATTCAACATATTTTTTAATGTTGTTATTGTACACTCATTTTACTGAGTGTTTACTCAAATAATCAGTTTTTTTACATTTTGTTTTACAGTGCTGAGAATGCTCTGAAAACTGGAAATCTGTTAGATCTCTTACAAACAGTTTCAGTTGCTGTGCGTGCTTGCAATCATCCTTCTTTAGCTGGAACTCATCCAAGATCCTCACGACTGTTTAGACATACATTGGATAATTTACAAGCTGGGGTTCATGCTGTACATGGTCCGTATGTATTCAAATCTCTACAAAAGATATGCGATTCAAATAATCACTACTATTCCAATTGTGGTCTTATGTTTAGCACTCCAGAGTCAGTTTTGTTGGGTGTTAAATTACTTCGACATGCTGAATTATCTGACATAACTTCCCAATTCTTCAATTTGTTCGAAGCTCTCAAACCATCTGCTTATATCCGCAGTCGTATCGCCAATCTTACGCCTCAATTCAGCCAGTTATTATCACCACCAATTAATCATCAAATGTTGAGTAATAACAGAAATGTCACTATTTCGGAAATTGTTTCAAACTCAGTGAATTTTTCGCCAGAATCTCATATTCCAAATGGAAATCTGGAAAGTAATTACTTCAAGCAGGGAAATCAGTTAACAAATGGTTTTCCTCAGTCTCAACATTTGAACTCTAAAAACTGTGTTGATCCAGACATTGAAATTGTAAGTATACCTCAGAGACAGAAACGACAAAGAAGTTCCGTTGTCGATCAGAATTCAGTTTATTCCAAACGACGTCGAGTGGAAGAGTACGGTTCTCGTCTTCCTTTTCTTGATTGCACTGATATAGGATCTACTAGTTATCATAAGAGCTCCGACTGGTCGTCGAGTCACTTGAGTCTTAGTAGTGACCCATATATGGCCCATTCTGATCAGTTTAGAAGTACAACAAGTAAGTTACTTACTGGTTGTTTTTTGTTTCGTTATTTCTATTGTCATGTATGCTTTAACGAAGTTGTTATGTCCATGACGTTCACATACCGTTGCTAGTCTTGATCACTTTTTTTATGATTCGCTTCAAAGTTGGTCCCAATGGTATGCTAACACCTTCTTTGTTTATCCTCCTCCATATTTTTAGTATTTTATTCCTTTATACTTTTTTAAATTTGTCTTTTCCTCAGATTTGTAATCATTTTAAACCTTGACTACATCTAAAAACAATTATAACTAGGTTAGTATATACGATCATATGACACACTGTAACAGCTAGTAATTATGTTTGACTGTTCAAATCTCGGGAGATAATGTGTGTTCTGAATCCATAAGGGACAATTTAAACTACTTTAGTGGCCCTGTATTTCACTCCAATTAGGTTGTATGATGATTGTTATCGAAATATACGTGTCGCCAACCCTCATGTATAATTATCGACTTAATTTGCGTTAGACATTAACGGAATAAAATAAACCAAATACGAGAACGCATTTTGAATCCATATATTTTGAACATCATTGATCCAGAGAGAATCAGAGAATCTAGGTGAATAAAGCAAAGCTAGGAAAACAAAACGAAGTGACGCGTAGAGGAGAAGGTGAGTGAGCGAACCCGTTTCGATTAAGCGTGACTCGATATCTATATTCAAACAAGAATAAGTTACAGGCAGACAAGTGATGAATAGGGCAAGCATTTCACACATACGACCATATAAAAGCCGTCAGAGTTAATAGGCGAATAATTGACAAGTTGAAAATGTAGTTTAAAAAGAGTGAATAAATTAGTCTGTCCAGAAGCTAGAATAGCCTGTGAATTTGATATAGTACCAGCCACTACACCACTACTAAGGCGTGTCGACCAAACTGAGTTAGATTGTCAAATTTTTCTTTTGATTCAGATAATGGGTCAATCAGTGTTAAACTACTGTTGAAAACCTCGAAGCACTGAACGGTCGTTTCATCCTAGTACGGGACTCCTCAGCAGTGCTCATCCTCAATCACTCACACGGGATTCAAACCCAGGACCTTCGATCTCGCGCACTTAACCTCTAAACCACTGAGACGGCATCCAACGGTGTTAATGTTTAACATCACTTGATTCATGACATTACGCGATCATCCTACCATTATATTTAGTGGGTAACTGCCTCATGCTCGACAAGGATTAGCTCCACCGATCACAGCTTCTTCCTAAAACTCCGAGAATTACCTCTTGAATCTAGTCTATTTTCTGTAAATTATTTCATGTAATCCAAATTAATTCGTGTAAAAAGACAGTTTGTGTATTTTCATTTTGTATAAAGGTTCTGCAATCTTCTAGAAAAATTAATGTACTTTCTAGACTAATCTTATGATACTTCTCGTGTTATGTAAATTTTATTATTTTATTTTATTTGAACACATAAATATTGGTACAAGAGGGCACCAAATACATCTGCACCACACAAAACAATGAGAATTTGAAGAGAAGAAGGAAAAAGTAAGGAGCGTAAAAAAAGAACAATAACATACAGATTAGTGTAAGGTAGTGTAATAATAATAATAATGAGGGAAACGAAAAGGTACAATCAGAAGAAATCTTTCAGTTAAGGGAGAAGCAACCACTTTTTATGAAGAAAGTAAAAGAAGGTTACAGCAGGATCGCCATTGGCTTCTATTCTGAGCCATATCTGATAACGTCTCTAGCCACTGTGTCGCACCATCTCTCGGACCCCAGCTAGGGAGTCATGAAGGACCAACGGAAGCCAACTCTTTGCAGCTTTCTTTCATACCACGACACCATGTCATACACTGACCACTTCTCCGCTTCTTCCAACCAATCTTAACGTCGGCAAATAATTCACGACGTTGAACGTGTTATATAAAGAAGTTTTGTAATTTAGTAAATACACAGAATTACATTTAGATGTTTGCATATTTACGTACATTGTTCATGAAAAGATTTTGTTCATAGTTAACATACTTGTTTATCCATTTATTTCTTTAAAGATAAACATATTTTAGCTTTGTTCGTATTTTATGAAACCCTTTTTTGTCTACAACATATTTTAAATATCGTTTTGTAAGTTTTTCCATTTAAGAATTTCTTGTATCTATGGATTAATTTGTTGTAGCTACCTTTCTTTTTGAAAAAAAGAGAGAAAATCTAAGATGACAGATTATGGCTTCGTGGGGAAAACTACATTTAAGTATATTTTCATTTTATACCGTGACATTTCATTATATATATCTATATATGTATATGTATATATTTCAGATATGTCTAATAATCTCTCTCATACTGTCAATCATAACAATTCCTACAACTCAAATGATCATTTAAACAACAATAATAATAACACCAACAGTGATAATCATTTAAATGTAAGTTTATTTTATCATTTTTAGTATGATTTTGTGTTCAATACTTTCTAGTTGTATCTATGCATGTTAGTTTGTACGGTATATACACGTGAAGTAAACTAACATTGACATTAGTTTTGTCCAATTTTTGGTTGATGTTTTCACAGGTAGGAAAAAATGCCAATATATTGATTTTCGGATAAATTACTTCATAACAAAATTTCTCCATTCCTTAATTTCTCTTCTCAGTTTAATAATAACAATCTATGTATCGAATATGGATCTTCTTCATTTTACTTATAGCATGTGGGTATAGAAATATTATGAACTCCGTGTTATCTTACAGTTTAATACTTGTTTCTTCTTTTTAAAATATTCATTCTTTGCTAATTTTGTTTTGGTTTTTACTTTGTTTACCTAAAATGCACCACTACTAAATCATATGACCAATGTTTGTTTAGTAATGGGACTCATTTTGTCAACAGTGTTTATAACGTCAAAACCTGTTTATATGAATGGGTATAAAGCGGTAGCTTAGTGGTTAAGACATTTGATTTTCAGCCGTTATTTTAATATACCTGCTTTGTCACCTTGGAAATGTTTTAAAAATGTCATCTCAAAGTCTCACACATCAAGTATTAATTTCCAAAGTTGAGACTGGATGGAAAAGGTGCAGAGGTGCTCATTTTGTGACATTGTTGTTGTGGTAAGAAAGAGAGCTGTATACGACTAGAACCTATCATCACACCTCAACTCCCTGGTTTGAGTTCTAAAGGTGTTACAACTCAGTGGCTTAGTATTTTAATTGAAGTGACTCGAAGTAAAAACCAGTGGTGACCCCTCAGTAATTTGCTACTATTTCCTTTAAAAAGGGGAGAAAACTCCATTAACCGAATAAAGTTATTATTGATTGTATTTTTAAGTGAGATTTACATCCTACTACATAGTATCCTTGTAATTTTTATTGTTATCAACTCTCTTCATCGATTCACAATGTCACTGTTTATTCTGTATAATGATGATCACATATTAAGGTTCCATTTGTCCCGCAATACTTGCGAATTGATGAACAGTTAAACTATCCCGATACGAATTATTCTATTCTGGACTCGATAATAGCAACTGGTACACAACACGTCAACAAATGACTGGCAAGACAAAATAGCGAAGTGTAGAAATAACTTAATACTCAATCAGAACAATTTGACATAGTACAACTCTGTATGTGTAGTGACAGGAACATGATCATTCATCAAACAAAAAGTTAACGAACTAAAGGTAGTGGCAACTAATCAGAATTGAGCTAAGGTCGTGCGAAGAAAATTGATTGCGAAAAACACTAGCGGTTGCTGTTACTAGTAAGACTTTGACATTAACAAAAACCTTGTAATCCTGTGATCGTCTTGGCAGTCGCCTATACAATTTTGATTTCCGATTGTTCCGGATTTTATGTGAATAAATGAGTAAAATAAGACAGTTTACCGCTTTATGCACTGGTTTATCTATCTGTGTATCATTATTATTATCGTCATCCTTAAACGTAGCAGTGTTCAACTTGATAACTTGCCATATAGTGAAGTAAGAGACATTAAGGCATTATTACTTTAATTATTGTGTTGTTAATTTCCTAGGAGAATGCATATCCTTGGCTAATAGATAATCATCGTAAATGTACTCAGTTAACTGATTTTGCTGATTGGTGTTCCCAGGATACATGTGATCTTCTACGCTTAGATTTATTATCTGATAATACTACTTCAGATTTCAATGCTTATTCGAAAAATTCACAATTTAAGTCTTACAGTGTTTACTCTTATAAGAAAGAATCCGATATATGGAATATTGTTTTAAATCAATTTTCACAATGGAATAATTTTACGAGGTAACATTTTACTAATTTTGTTATACTCATCATGTATTTGTATGTGTATATTAGGTTAGAAGATTGAATTAGTCAAGTTTATAAAGAACTTACAACTTATGTTTAAATTATAACATATCCTCCCTTTCATATTTTTTATTTATTACTACCATTTTGTGGTTCGTCAATCTGACTCGTACATAATTATCAACATAATTCGCCTTAGAGAATAACGGAATAAGATAAGTCAAATACGAGGATGAATTTTAAATATGTCCATTTTGTAAACTCGTTGATCTGGATGGATAATCAGAGAAACGATGCGGAGAAGGCCAATCAGTCAGTCAGCTACAACGTAGGACCAGGCACATATGCATCGGTCCAGGTTGCCATACCGCATTAGCACAGCAAGATGAACACTGGATTCATAGGAGTGGTTAAGTCAAATGTGGTAGTATATAGGAGAAAGATTGCATATAAGGATACAGTACAGGAAGAAGGTCAGTGAGCCAACTCGATTCGATCAAGCGTGACTCAATACTCATAACCAAAAATAAGCAACAAATATATGACAAGTAGGCTAAACAGTGCACATACATATATAAAAAAGTCAATATTAATCAACGAATAATTAACAAGATCAAAATGTAACTCAAAAAGAATGGATAAGCTGGTTTGTCTAGAAGCTAGAATAACCCATGTGAGCTTGGCGTAGCACCAGATACTACACCATCAGCATTGGCTTTTAGGAGGTAATATTTTTGATTTTGGAAGATTTTCAATACTGCTATGATAGTTCATTCCGATAATTTACATAATTGAATTCTTTGTTTTTTATTGTTTACTTTGATGTCTGTAGTCATTCAAGTAAGGAGATGGATGGGTGGATAGAAAACCTTTAATCTATGCTTTTATTGTACATTTGTCAAGGTGGAGTGCTAAATAGTAAACTTTTCAGCAATATAACTGGTTCATTAACATTGTTAATAAATAGCGATTTTTGACTAACAATAAACGTTTAATTTGTTTATTAAATCACCATTCTATTCACATTTGAAGTTACGCTTCCATAATAGATGTATTCCGATAGGTTTTTTAAATCAGAGTATGGAATTATTCATTCTCAGTATTTTAACTCAGTTTTGTTTTGTGATATATACATGTATATATTCGTAGAAGTAACACAGTTCTACTAAATCATTAATCGGTTGATTTAACGCAAATCCTTTTTTTATTTCATTTCAGTGCACTGTGTACGCGATCGCGTGTGATTGCCTCGCCTGCCCGACTAATATCTCGTGCAGGACCTATTAATCCTTTGCTATTGTTTGACAAAAAGAAAACAACTTCATTATTGTCCAACCTATATTGTCCACAATCATCTTGGTCATTTTCTATGTATTCATCAATTTTGCGTATAAGTCATACTTTCTATCCTCTAACAGAACAAGCACGTTGGTTGACACCTTCATGCTGTTCAAAGATTGGATTTCATTCCTCATTGTTGTCGTCATTTAGCGGCAACTCGAAATCATCTATCAGTCAGTTGTTACTAGAATCAGGTAAATACATGTATAATCACTGTGTTATTATGTAACTATTACGTTACTCAGCTACTCGATGAGTTCTTTCATTAAATGTGGAAATGGAAATTTTCACTATACTGAAATATATATGAATCCATGCTGTGTTTATGCACTATTATAGTTAAACTGTGGTTTCATTGTATTGTTCAATAGGAAAGATTCGTTGATAGAAGTGAACAAATTTTATCCATACGATTACTGTTGCAGTTAGGCGGATTTGTATTCATTTAATTTCTAACTACAGGAAAATTCGTTACAAATAAATAGCAAACGCTGTTTAGACGTGACTGCAACTCATACATATATTAGGAGATTTTGATACGTAATGCACAAAGCTTTGCAATGATGCAGAAAATGCTCTTGTATCACATAAACCAAATCAGCAAATACATATAATAAACTATGCTTTTTATGTAATGGTTGCTGATTATGTCCGGCGCTTTAACCGGATTCCAAACCAATGGTGCACATGGGGACCAGTATCCTGCGGGAACAAATGGCGTATAAACCAATTGTTGGTCACCGGCTTCCATGGGACTGCATCTCCTTACGATGCTCCACTGCCTTGTGGGTTAGACCTTTAGGTCAAAGGCTCGGGGAGTGGCCCCCTAAGATAACCACCTGCTTCGGTCTGGGCACCCGGGCAGTAACGCAGCCCACACGCAATTAATGAACTGAAATTGTGTGGCGCATATATGTTTGGCGCACTCTTGTACCAATATATATGTGTTCAAATAAATAAATGCTGATTATCAGCCAACTTCCCTAACTGTTGTAGTACCTAGTGCGAATTTAAAATCTGTCCTTCAAACAGTTGAAAATCTAGTGCTTAAGCTAATAACTCAAATTTTAGACTGGTATTAAATGCTAAAATACAATACACTGTCAGTAATGTAACTGGGAAACGATCGCGCTGTTGTTTTGAACTCTTCAACTGCCCGACCGAATAATTTAGAACATGTTGTAAAAGTGACGCATATGATGATATTAAACTTGTTTACAAGGTAAGCGGTTCAAGTTTAGTACAGGTATTACGATTAGTCATTTTTGAACATTTTTAAGTAGTTGTGTATTCATTCGGTAATAAGATCTTAAATCAATAGTTTGACAATATATATTGCTCTGTCTAGTATGTTGAAATTTATACACAAATATGTTAATTGCATGCAAATGATTTAGCATACAGTTATGCAACAACACTGAAGCACACAATAGAAAAGAATGGAAAACTGTTGTTTATATGAAAACCGTAACTGTTTAAAAAGAATCTAAATATGTAATACAACACTTCTTTGTACATAACTTACAGCATGAATTTAGGAAAACTTGTGACAATTTAACACAGTTACCTGGATAAAATAAAATGATGCACTGTCAGCCAACTAAAATTCGGTTGATCTAACTGTATATCACGATGACATCTTGGTAGGTTTAATAAACTCCTCTATCGCAACGCATTAATTTTATCCTTTCAACCAATTTGCCACTAGAGATTGGTAATAAAAGAAACTTGTCTTATGCTTTCACGGTCACGTACTGGTCAGTGTGTGTTTTTAGGGGGGAAACAGTTACAAATAATCATAACTGCCTTTTTTCAATCGGTTACCATTTGGTCGTCATAGATTTAATTTTTCATTAACCTGACACACGTAGACGTGCAAGTGTGTATCCGTGCTATATTATTAAACCGCATATATAATAGATGCAACTCAGGAACAGTGAATATGCTTGTCGACCTGATGTGAGATCTGTTTTGGTTGTTATGTATGTATGTTTGCGCAAATTCTAGACGTTTTTCCTTCATAATTCTTCATATGTACCGAATCCATAATCGTTTGCTTCGTCATTGTAATTGTTCTGTTCTCTTCTTGTTTCAGGTAAATTTTATAATTTACATCAGAAATTAACCAAATTGCTTGGTGTAAAGTCTAATAGTACTAATACTACTACTAATAGTAATAATAATCTTGAAAAACGTCCACGTTGTATATATTTCATAGCGCATCAAACAGCTTTTCTCGATTTATTGGAAGCTTATTTATCAGCATCATCTTGGCGTTTATTTCATCGTGTACGTATTCCATCAAATTATAAATCAGTTAATGCTAATACATGGTCACTAATTGATTGTATTAATAGTTGGCCTCAAGGTACAATTGGTCCACTACTAGTACTAATACATGCACGAAGTCCAACTACATCATTAATTAGTTTACGAGCTGATTCAAATGTACACATTATCATATGTGATGTTGATTGGCGAGTAGAAGTCACAGATAATTTGAAAGCCATGTAAGTATGTTTGAAATCCACTTTTTTAGTTTACCAGGTTTTTATTCACTTGTTAAGATATTCATAGCTCTCTAGTATTTATTCATAGACATGTGCCTTTGGAGGTTCGCTGATGTGCTTTCAGACTATGAGGTTAACACTGTTGAGTTCAAACTCAGAGTAAGAAATAAAAATAGTCAGTCAGCTGGCAAAGGACTGAACCTTCATTGACATGAGTGGTTGGGACATGCACCGTGTATGCTCAACCACCGTCTACCTCTCTGCACGATTTTAGCTGGTGTAGGAATGAATTGTAAGGAAGCTAAGGATGGTCTAACTAAAGTTCGGCATTATTCCATGAAATTATCTTCCGTTGTACTAAGTTGTATAGGTAGGTGCAGATTACCTAGTGGGAGTTCACGTGATTATCGTAATTGACAGTCGAAGATGTCTGGTGAATCGTTCGCAGTGGTGCAGATTGGTTCACTTTTTGTCTTCCCGTAGATCTTGAGTGGTAATATAATCGTATGCATTTTATTCTGCGAACTCGGTCTTCTTAAGAGCATATTTTCTGCACTTAATGCTTTATACTACTATTAACGCTGTTACTACTGCCATTCTGATATTTGCCTCGATAATTTTATCTTTCTCTGTTGATCTAGTCTAACAACTTGAACCGATCTCATTTGTGCAACATATACGACTGACTGAGTAACTAAGAATTGCTAGCAGCTGTTTATCAGTTAGTCTGAAACTGTATTTGACTAAAAGTTTCAATTTAAATGGTTTAAGCATTTAAATCCAGCCATTTAAAATGTGAGTAGTTGGACATCATACAATAATTGTGATTTATTTCTGTGGGGTTCTTTAGTGAAGTGTATTTTCATTTAGTTCATTATATAGCTATAATTTCGACGTCCATCTTCATTGGTGGGTTTAAGCTGATATATATAACCTTTTACCACACTTGACACCAAATGCTTTTTCGTCCCGAAAGTTCTATCCAAAGGCATCATTTCAGAACTATCAACTGGGGCAGAATTTCAAGTTCTGCCTTATAATGTCACGTTTTGTGAATAACTCTCCCTCGAAGCCCCACACCAAATAATTGTGTGCATCCCTACAGAATTTCCGTTGTCATTATTACTAATAGTATCAGCAGTAGACCTGTTCAGTGTTTATTTATTTGATTTATCTCAAACGTTCGAAATATATATCAAATCCGATTTACTGATGACGGCATATCTAGTGTACCTTTCATTTATCTTGTTCGGTTCGTAACTATTCCACATCCTTTGCGAATATGTAAATGAATTATGTCACAAAAATATGAAATTATATTTGATCGACCTCAATTAGACAGCTATGAAAGACCAATTTCGCCCTGGTAGTGACCCTTCACCACTCGCTATCCTAGCAGAGATCAAACTCATGATTTACATATCTAACGACAAGCGCTTAATCTTTAGATCATATTACATGTTTAACTTCGATTGCTTTACAACATTGTGAGAGCATTACTCAGTAACTAACATACACTCGAAATGGCTGAACTCCACCACTCCTAGCTTCTCTCATTAAAACTTCTAGAATGATCTCTCAAAATTAGTCACTGGTACGGTCAAGGGTAGATAGAGTTAGCTTTCCCTCTCTAAATGCTCTCATATGGTCACGCGTATACAGACGCAGCCAGGGGAATCCTACTCACTGCTTCTTGTGGCGGGAGTGTTTAAGAAATTAGGAGGACAAAAAGCGAATGTTTTACTCTTTAACCGGGTCGGTGGATATAGGGGATCCACCTAGGGTAGTTGGAAAACCCTGAATCCGAATCAATAGTGCACACGTGCTCCATGATCTTGAGGGCACAAATGGCGTATGGGTCAATTGTTTGTCACCGGCTACCATAGGACTGCATCTCTTAATGTTGCTCGATTGCCTTGTGAATCAGACCTTTAAATCAAAGGCTCCGGGCGTTGTCATTTAAGGAAACCACCTGATTCGATCTAGGCACCCGGACAGTATCACAGCCCACACACAAATCAAGTGACTTGTTTGACGCATATGTATTCGATGCTCCTTTGTACCAATATTTATGTGTTCAATTAAATAAATAACTTATTTATATAATCAGTTCGTAAAGATATTTGAATGTCATAGTTTACACCAATGATTAATTTTGAGTTTTTAAGATGAATTTCAATTAGACATATTCTCTTAATGAAACATTTCTAATGAGTCTTTAATTATTTTCATTTATAGTATTCATAGTTGGATATTGAATGGTTTGTCATTTTATCCTTCACCTTCTTCGTCGTTATCATCTATTTGTTTCAATAATGATAAAAAACAAAAAATCAATATTTCTCGTTTATTATCAACTAATGATTATAATTATTCTACACATCGTATTAGTGTAGAAGCATGTCTATTACGTGGTGTAGCATGTCGTCTATTACCTAGAGCTGTATTTCATGCACATTCAACAACACATGTTAATTGTCGTTCATTATTATTTGCAAGAGTTCAACCAAATGTTGTCAATGAATTATTATCTGGTATAATACAAATAAAAAAATTATCAAATCGTCAATTATTTATCCAACAAAAAATTAAATCAAATGAATATGAACATTTAGATTTATTTAATGATCGTAATTTTTTTGGATCTATTCATAAACATGATACATTATCACATTCATCAACATCATCTATTGCTTCATCATTTTCATATATTGGACAAGAAAATCGTTTAAATGAATCATTAATTAATAATGAAAAAATAATTAATGAAGATGATGATATATTATTATTTCATGAAAGAGAACCATTAAGTGAACTTTTAGTAAGTAGTTGAATAAATTTATTTCTGTTAATATTATTCTTGTTATTATCATTATCAATAATAATAATAATAATAATAATAATAATAATAATAATAATAATAATATGGAGGAGTCCCTTTGGTGGGTTATAATCTGTGTCGGTTGCAACAGTTATCTACTACTGTTAATGGATGAAGGGTTACGCAAGGTTGTGGATTGATTGTGGATGCCGCCTCAGTAGTTTAGAGGTTAAGAGTTCGCGTGTGAAACAGCAGACCCTAGGTTCAAGTCCAGTGTGTGGGATCGTCGATGCTTACTGCTGAACAGTCACATACTAGAATGGAACGACCGTCCAGTGGTTCTTGGCTTTTCATAGTAGTTTATCTTAAATTGACCATTAAATTAATAAAATCCCTACAAACTCCCATTCTGATAATAATCATCATGTACCCGCTAGTGACTGATTTCAAGATGTATTTCCTGGAGTTCTAGTGAGTAGTCGTGATCGGTGGAGTCCAATCTGTGTCGAGTGTAAGGCAGTTACCCACTGAAGATAATGGTAGGTGGTCATGTAATACCATGAATCGATTGATTTTAGACATTAACACCGTTGAATACCGGCTCAATGGCCTAGGGGTTGTATTCGCGCACGAAACTGGAGGTCTTGGGTCGGAGTCCCGCGTGTGGGGTGTTGGGTGCGTACTGCTGAGTATTTTCATACTAGGACGAAACGACTGTCCATTGCTTCCAGGTTTTCAATGGTGGTCTAAGGTTGATCGATTCATGAATTCAACTACTAAAATAGTGTAATGAGCGTAATAAGTAAATGAACTATAGTGCTTTCGAATGCAATAGTTTTATAATATGAAATAATATCAAACTTTACCAGTAGTGATAATGTCATCCTACCAGTCACTGGAATTCAATCATAAGTGATAATACAAACGTGGCTACATTGGCCGAATTTCTTTTTGAATGTCAATTAAATCTTACTTCAATTATTGAGTACACTGAAGAGTAATCTGTCGACTTTGCCACTGGATGACAACGAAAATACCACCGTGATCGATTACTTAAGGTAGTATTTTAGTGTTTGTACATCTCAGTAGTGATCTTGTACCAAAGTGTAGTTCAGCTTGCTTTGTCTAAAGACCTTTCGATTTTTTGGACAAAATGTATTAAAAAGCCATAACCATCTCGAAATTTATATTTAGGTCTCAAACAGTTAAATTCCTTGTTTAAGTCTATCATATTTGAGCTTTTGATTGTTTTATTTTTCTCCAATTAATGCATTTCATTGAAGCTTCATCAAGCATTGGAACTTTTTGAAGACCCAATCGATACACAAGCATGGTGTTGTACAAATGCTGAAGAATTAGCCATTGTCAATGAATTTGTTTCTCAAGATGATGATAATGTAACGGATGATTTTCATTATTTGATCGGTGATGGTGAAGCTGACTTGGAAGATGATTTGAATTATAAAATTTCTGATGAATTGGATACAAATTTTGTACAGTTATCAGATTACAATGAACGGAAATCTTATCCAGATTGTCTAATGAAACAGTTAGGTTACACCGATTTAATTAGTTGGGAAGTTGCTAATTATGAATTGTTGTCTCGTATATCACTACTTGAAAATCAATTAGACAGTGAATCGAATCATGATTGGTTAAGTTATCATAATCATCCTTCTCCTGTTAATCATAATGATGACAATTCTCTAGTTGATCGAAATGAACAACAGCACTCACAACATATTAAATCATCTACTCCCGATGTAATAGCTTCTTACTCTCAACTTCCAGTGAGTTCGACTTAATATAAACTTTTATGCTATAAATTGTTCCAAGAACACTTTTTCGAGAAAGGATATCTAAGTTATTTCATCTTATAATGTAGAAAAGCTTATAGATATTCGACTATATTATGTCTCCGACAAATTGTTGCAAATAATAGTAAATCTGTGGAGTGAATAAACAATTTTGGGGCTAGAGGTCCTTTGTATAAGATGTGTAGACCAATTATTGATTGTTGTTGTTATGGATGCAGAATAATATACCAATCATTATCATGTTAAGTCTAATGATGTCCTTGGACCTTAAATAGACATTCCCTATTGGCCATTATTTATTTCACTCGTTAAATATTGTACAGATGTTGTTTTCTATTTTTATGGTACGATGTGGTCTGTTCGGTTGGTATATTCTCAGCACACCTAACAGTTGTGAAATTGCATCATTGTACAGGTTCAAGAACACGTTGTCCAGAATGCGATACTGTGTGATCAATGATTTGAAATTTCATTTCACAATCATTTTTATTCAGAAAAGGTTTTAGTTTAACCATTTAATAAATGCTCTCAAATGTGTTCCTTGAAGGTGTGGTAAATTTTAGAAAGATCTTGATTATGCGATTAATCGGGATGAAGTTATCAGTAGCACTATTACTTCAGCTTATCGTATTTTAAAGAATTGTGCCTAGTTATTGATCAACTTGATTTCTTGTTGTTGTTGTTTTGCACACAATAAAACTGAATGTAATTAATGAATAAAAGTATTTCTAAAGGTCGATATCTTGTGACGTTTGTGCATCATATGTTTTTGTATGCGTATAATAGACAGATATACCTTTTAAATGGTGTTATGTATATTAGGTAACGTACCTACTTTTATATAACTGTAATGCAACAGGGACTGTCTGTCAGTTGCATATTAGTTTATGATCTCTCACAGTTTCGAATGTGCAAAATGAGAATTCCGTTTTGAAGGCATATTTAAAATCTAACCGTCTTCATAGTGTCACTTTAATTTATGACTACGGATTCAGAAGGCTAATTCGGCTTTTGGCGACTTATGTCACTTGTGATGTAGGCGGGGTATTTATCTCACAACCAAGTTGCTAGTTTATTGTGAAATAGTTCGTTCTGTTCTACTTTATGACTGTGAAATACTTTTTAAAGTGGTGGATATTCGTAGGTTACTACTTTTTACTCATAGGTGCCTTTGAAGCTTCGCTCGTGTATTTTGGGACAAGCAAGTTAGCAATGTTGAGGTTAGAAGATGGCTAATCGATTGATAAGATAATCAGTCTTTGTTGACTGAGATGACCGGGACCTATATTACTTATGCTCAACCGCTGTATACCTCACTATGCGATGTTCACTGGTGTAGGAGTAGGTTGAGAAGAATTCAGAAGTGATCAAACCTGAGCGTCGGATTAATCTGTAAATTAAACTGTTGAAATGAACCGTGTAATTTATTTCAGACTACCTGGATGGAGTTCGCGTAATTGTCCTAACCAGGGATTAAAGACTGTGTGATACGGTTCGGAATCGGTTGCGCTAGCACAGATGCATTCTACGTTTTGTCTGAAAATACTCATACCATTTGTTTGTTCTCATTAAACCATGTTGTTTATGACTAATTGTGTTTACTAGTACTGACATTTCTACCTCTTATACTGTTCTGATATCGTAATAATTTTATTTCACTTTAATTGATCTCTTGTTGGAACTTGACTGGATGCAAATGTTTTTCAAATTCTACATTGCATGTGACTAACAGACTTCTATTTATAATATGAAATTTGCAGATGATTCATTTGTATTCGAAATATACCACTGTAATTTTCTAAGTTTATTTCTTCAAATTTATAAAAAGGTATAAATGACGAGATGGCAAGATCTTTTCTCATATTGTTATCATTATTATAATAAATAATTTATTTATTATTTAACACATAAATATTGGTACAAGGATGTACCAAATACATATGCACCACACAGATCTCATTTGATGTGTGTGAGGGCTGTGATACTGCCCGAGTGCCCAAACCGAGGCAGGTGGTTTTCTTAGGGGATCACACCCGGAGCCTTCGACCTGAGGGTCTGATACACAAGGCAGTGGAGCATCGTAAGGAGATGCAGTCCCATGGAAGCCGGTGACCAACGATTGGTTCATACGCCATTTGTTCCCTCAGGATACTGGAGCCCATGTGCACCATTGGTTTGGGATCCGTTTAAAGCACCGGACATTCGCTTTTCGTCCTCACATTTTCGTAAACAACACCCGCGCCACGCGAATCAGTGAGTAGGACTTCCTCGGCAGAGGCTGTATACGCGTGACCATGTGAGGGCATTTCGAGAGGGAGGGCGAACTCTCCCCACTCTCTGCATTTGGGGGCATGATAAATAATAAAAAATATTTTACACTTTATCATTCAAATTTTTTTAATAAATCTGATAATTATTGCACACCATCATTTTTCTAGATTTGGTGTCCTTTTGAATCATATCTAAAAAATTTACATTCAACATCGGATACTAATGATTCAATGATAATGGTTGCTAAAGATGAATCTAATCATCTTTTAACATCTAATGAAGATTATTATTTATATTCAAATGATGATTGGGCTTCAGATAGTGTTGGATTTAATTTCGGTTATGAAAGTGTTCCAATGACTGAAAGTGAACTACCTCCTTTGATTATACCAACACCATCTCCGGTTATTCAAAACAACAATATTAGTATTAATAATAATATTGTTGATAGAAAGACAGGAAGACGTCGTCCTATTATGAATCATTCATCTTTATCATCATTATCTTCTAGACCATCAAATGATAATATTAACAATAGTATTGGTCATGTTACATCATCATCAACTCATCGTAATGGGTCTCGATTGAATAACAGAAATCTTAAAAGACGAGCATTAACTAGTCCAACAAGTTCACTTCCTCGTAAAAACAATTCATCATCAACTGCTTCTTACTATAATACCTTTGATGAATCATCAACTACACATATTACAACAAATACGGGTTCAAATTTAGGTAAGTGTAAGTATTATCTAATTAGTAGAGACAATTCACATTATGTATGCAATTAATCAGTAATTAGGTATATATTGAGGATAAGGGAAGATTTAGATTACCATACAAAACAATTTGTTATATCAAGTTTTAATTCATGCTAATTTTTATTCTAGTCGTATGTTTCCGAAGTCTTACATTTTTAATGACTGATTATTGCGTTAAATCACATTAGTTAGTGTATGAGTTTTTAAAGTCCAACAATCGTTTTCTTTTCAAAGAACAATAGACATTTTTTAGTTTCTTCATACTTTTGATTTAGAAATTTGTGAATGACTTCATTGATTTGCATTATGTTGATTAACATTGAAATCATAATTATATAATAATTGATAATAGTATACCATTACTATTTTAGTGTTCAGATTAAATTTTATGCATTGATATTTAGAGATGTAACTGACACATCAATAATGGTTCTTGTTATTTATTTGAACACATAAACATTGGTACAAGGGGGCATCAAATATATATGTGCCATACAATAAAAATGAGGCCAGTAGTAGCTACTATTGATTTGTATGAGGGATGAGATACTTTCATAGTACTCAAACCGAAGCAGATGGGTTTTTTAGGGGCTAGCCCCGAGCCTTTGATCTAAAGGTCTAATCCACAAGGCAATGGAGCAACGTCAGGAGATGCAGTCTCATGGTAGCCTGTGACTAATAATTGGTGTTGGTTGTATAGGAATTTCTAAATCTATTCAGGTCCATCGGAACAGTGTGACACCTGAAATTATCAGTAACTATCTTAGAGAAAGAGAAAGATAGCTGTGAATATGAAGATTTGAATCACTTGTGATAATCTGTTATAAAATGTATTGTCTAATCGTAAAAGAAAATAATCATATTTTCTACTTTATATATATCACCCATTTTTAGCTTTTAATGTGATTTGCTTATATTTAACTCATTGTGCATCCCATGAATTGTAATTTGTTTTATATGATTAGTGTGTTTTACCCAAATAACCTTTTAGTCACCTTCATATATGAACAAAATTTCTTTTGTTTTTAGCTTCTATCGAAAATGAAGCTCGAAGTCAAGATGGTCGAATGATTGGTCTACAACAATCACATACACGCGACCTTTCGTCTACCGGAGTCACTATTTCATCAACATGTTCCACTGGAAATAATACAGTATCTCTTTCTCCTATTTCATCCAGTACAAATATATATACAAATAATTCAATTGTTCTATCATTACATTCTTCTATAGGTAATGTTAGTGGAAATTCGGCTACTTTAAAACTACATATCCCACGGGCATCTTATAATAAAGCAGTTACTAATGCTCGTATTCATCGACTTCGTCGTATAAATAACACAAATATCGGATCAAGTTCAGATGTTGCTACGGTTGCAGCAGTAGCTTCTTTAGCCGCTGGTGCCCACTTACTTCAACAGCAACAGCATGTGAATACTGTATCCAGTGGATATTCTGATCATAATCATCAACATTTATCAAATACTGTTATGGCAGCAGCTGCCTTCAATAGTTCATGGAATTCAGTCTTGACTAATCCATCTATTCTAGCTCGTTATGGATATACACATCATGTTGGATCAGTAAATAATTTACCTGGACGACATGTTTCATCACTTCAAAATTATATGGTATATATCATATGTAAATTTAGTGTTTTATAAAACTATTTATTGCATTATCTATGTGTTATGTATAAGTTTCAAGTCCACTGGTGATAATCTCCTCTAGAACTGTAAGATTTCACTTGCATTTCTGATTAAAATTAAACATGAAGCCAATAACTGAATTGATTCGATTCATCCCGCTGACGAGTCCCAAGTGGGAAGAAACGCGCGTCCTGAATTCCACTGTTAACCACCATCTGTATTTGCTTATAATGAATTGACTTACTTGTTTAGAGTTTGATATTTTATTCATTATTCTGTCAAAGATATTAAGTATTGTTTATTTCATCAATAAGTGCTTAATGTTACTAATCGTTTTGTTGTATGCAATTTTTAAATTAGCTTATCACTTACGGGTAATTGAAATTGTAATGGTCAGCTAATAGTCTATTTTTATAACATAACTGATATCAATTTTTCAAATATTGTTCAATTATTAATTGTGATTACTTTCTAAGAATACAGGTATAATTGATTAAAAGAAAAGAGAGATTGAAATGATTTAGAAGATTTCTTTTTAGTTTAGATTGCATACTTTTAGGTTGTATTCTCTAAGTATAGTGAACAAAACACGAGTGGGGACAGTCGAATGTATTTAACACAAAATTACAGGACTTGTTAATAAAATCTAACAATCATAAAGTAAATGCTTAATTTGCGAAACGTCCATCGATTGTCTCAAAATGACTCAGACTTCATTGTTCTTGCATCTTCATACAAATTGCATCCTGTTTCCATTCTTTACTGTTCGATCGTCTTGTCTTTCTGCTGCCAGACCTTCCATTCACGACTAACATCATATACTACTTATGTCAATATAAGTAGCACACACCACATAAGCACAGCAATTTAATATGGTGATTTCACATAAATTAATATCTACTGATGTTGTTTAGAATAACAATGAAGATTTGATAGAGAACACCATATATCTAATTGGAATGATTAATTCTCAAGATTTAGGTTTTCTTTTTTATCATTGCTGCTGGATGAATTCAATCTCTTCTATTATTTTCATCTTGTCATTTCAATCACATCATGTCAATCTAATGTATATCATCTGTGCTTGACTATTTCTGGATGTTTTCTATCTGTTTGTCTCCCTGATTCTTCGATTAACATATCAGTGTTAATTTCTGAAGTTGTTTTGTATTCGAAATCCTTTTTTTTATCGTGCTTAATTGTAATTTTGTTTTTGTCGTTGTTCTCTTTTTAAAAGTTAAACAATTAATTTTATGAACCTGTTCATTTATGTTTTGGTGACAAATGGAATGTAACTCAAGATAATGTTTTTCGCCTGTTTATTCATGTCAGTTAATCCATTTATCGATTACTGAATGATCATTGTTGCTTATAGGAAATTTTCTTAGCTCTGTATCAAATCTGCTAGAAGTCTCAGTAGAAATGAATTAAGCCATGTAAAATCCCAATTCATTAGATTTCTAAGGCGTTTACATTTGTCAAAGTGCCTTCAGAGAAGAAGCGTTTCGTGCACAAGTAATCTAAGTATAATATACAAAAGGAAAATACGACAAACCAAGTAATATCTATCAGTGCATTCAATTGGTCATTGTCAGGCAACAGACTGGAACAGACATTATACTCACTAAATATGGAGATTGGTACAAAGAAACTAATGATCAGTAAATCCACAAAGAATGAAGATAAATCAGTAAAACTATTGTGGAAATACAGTTTTAGTGATAAATGAATTAAAAGTCATGAAGTCATGTTAATGTTTAACGCGAAAAAACAAATTTTATAAACTGCACGTCCAAAATTGATTGATAACGATGTAAGCTACTGAATCTCAGTAAGTAATATGTATAATTAACATCGAAACTCGGGGTTAAAGGTAAAAAGAATAGGTGTTTTCAATGGACTGTCAAACTATTTCACTGTTTCTCTTAAATACCACACCCTCCCCATATAAATTCCTGTTTTTCTTAAATTAATGCCTAGAACTTCAATTTTTTGCTAATTTGTGTGCCTACCAAGTGTGTATCACAAAATCATCTCTATTGGTTTTTGCTTCTAATTCTCTCATAGCAAACAACTAATAATTCTCAGTGTCACCCATTGAAATATCCTGTCGGAGGTGGTGGTGGCAGTAGTGGGGCAACATCAATTCTATCTGTAAATAACAATTCATCATCATCAACTAATAACACAGGTCAGTTAAATAATGTAACACAAATGGCTAATCAGTTATATGTTGGTAAACCTCCTGATTGGTTGATTTATGAAGAAGCAGCATTATATTTAGTAAGTTGTTGTTGTGACATTTTTCGTTGCTTTCAATTGTTTGTTCTAAAACCATGTTTGTCACCACATTGTTAATAATGGTATTCTTTTTGTTTGAACAAAATATTATGTTTTACTGTCTTCTCTCTATATTAGATGAATGAACTAATTAATCAGGTTTAATTTATATTTAAAGGGAAAGAAATTTACATTTAGAAATACCGGTTAGATTGAAATTTAAAAGTATTTAAATTATAAATTATAGTGTACGAGAACACAAGCGGGAACAATCGAGTGTTTTTGAACACAGAAGTACAGTACATCTTGATAAAATCTGAGAACCATACAATGAATACTTAATTTGCAAAATGTCAATCCATTGTCTCAAAATTGACTGTTTCTTTTGCAAAAATCAGTCAGTCGTCTCAGATTTTACTGTTACTGCATTTCCATACCAATTGTTTTCTGTTCCCATCCCTTCCTCCTCGAATTTCTTGACCTTCTGCTGCCAGACATTCTATTCCTGATTAGCCTTTTTATACTACTCATGTCGATGTAAGTAGAATACACCACAAAACGACAAATGCTCTTATAAACAAATGTGATTATCTCCAAGAGTTTGATAATCGGAGTTCACTAAGTAATTCTAAATATGAAAAATAAGCGAATTTAGTTAATTTTAAATTATATTAACATTGAAGATGAATTGGTACAAGATATACGTTGTTCGTAAAAAATGAAGCGAATTAAAAAAAAGACAAGAGATTAATCAAAAGAATGGATTAATGTGGTAGTCATTTTATATATCAGGAGAATTTTGAAAGTAATCAGAAGGAGTATATTTTCGAAAGAACATGAAGAAAAAGAGAATTCAGTGAGAAAATTTTTCTTTTCGATGAAATCATTTACTTACGCTGTACATCCATATATATAATTATATGGGAAATATATATCTATAGAAGGATAGGAAAAATTACATCATAAATTGATTCGAAACTAAATATCAAATGAGGTTACGTACTAATCAAGGGGTAAAGATGAAAATAACTGATGGGTCAGATAATTGTTCAATTGACAGATATAAAAAAGAAACTACAAACATAAATGGCATAATAATAATAATAATAATAATAATAATAATAATAATAATAATAATAATAATGAAGCAAACTTGTATAAGGTAATAATAATAACTGATTAGTGGTTAAAATATTTTATGCTCTGCTAAAGCATTGATAATCCACGAACTCAAGCTCATTGTTTACCTTTGCTTCAAAAGTGAATTGAATTGAGGGGTGACCATTATTGAAACTATTCAAAATTTCATTGAGGTCCATATCTTCACAAATAATGAAGGACTAATCCATATTTGACTTATATAAACGAAATCTCTCAGTTATTGGTCGAATTAAAAGCAGATGAAAGCAATGGATTTCATTTTCTTGATGTTTGATTAAAAAGAAGGTCGGAGGTTGTTTTTTTTTTACAGAGATCTATGTATAGAAAACTAACCTGGAATGGGCAGTACATGAATTTTCATATCTGGATCCCACTGAGTAGAAAGAGGGACTTAATTCATTCTTTATCCTCAAGGATCAGGCGAATCTGTTCCACTGACACAATAGATGAGACACTATTTCAACTTCGACAGACTCTCATTAGAAATGGTTATCCACCGTGATTCGTCGATAGCAACTTAACACCTAGACTTCATGATGAAAAAGCATCGACAGTACAGAAGAAAACCTTCTTTATGAATATGAATTTTAAAGGAGATACGGCTGCTGAAATCTTAAATAAACGGACCTCAAAATCCCTGAATATAACGTTTTATTCAGCTAAGCTCCGTATTGTGTTGGGGTGATCCAGAAAACGTCTCGCGAAGGACAAGAACGGCTCAAGAAACAGTAAGAAGCAGTTTATCCAATCAGTGCTCACTAGAATTTTAGCCAGAAACATCAAGAAAGTGAAAAGTCACATGTAGAGTTTCTGATTGACTGATTACTATACTGCTACTTTGTTTATTAGCATTTCAGAATTTTCGGGAAACCAAAGGACATCTAAAATACTATAAAAATCCCATATTTTCTGTATTAAAACGAACTTTGGAGTAAAGTGCTTCTCGCATATTTTGAGCCTTTTCTCTCGTATTCAGGTCGCTGTGTAGTTCTAGCTTGGGGGTTACGAGAATAGCTTAGGAACCGAGTATAGCGTCCAATTAGCAAGACTTATCAATTGTTTTCTTAAGCAGACCTACTATTCATGAATGTGTTGAGGATAAACTTCCGCTTTGGGCCACATCAATGTGTATCTATAAATTTACTTGCTCATATGGGGCAAATTACATAGGCTGCACAAAGCACTCACTTTCCAAACGCATCTCAGAACACTATCCGAAATGGCTTTTAAAAGGAGAATGTAAAACAATTACTAGTTCTATACAGGAGCATTTAATTAACCATGGACACATCGCTCCAAAGGATTCTTCTTTTGAAGTAATCTACAGAGTCAAAGGAATTGGATCGAAGGGCAATCGAATCAATAGTTTATGCACTGTTGAGACATCGGCAATCCACGAACTCAAGCCCAAACTTTGCGTTCAGAAACGATTCTTCCAGACTCTCATCCTTCCTTCGCTCTGATTCCCTTTATTTATATGTTTCGGGTTTTTTTCCTTTCCTCTTCACTTTTATTTGATTATTATTGTATTTTTTAAAATTACTTTTTTGCATTTTAACTACTAGTCAGTTATTATTATTACCTTATACAAGTTTGCTTCATTATTATTATTATTATTATGCCATTTATGTTTGTAGTTTCTTTTTTATATCTGTCAATTGAACAATTATCTGACCCATCAGTTATTTTCATCTTTACCCCTTGATTAGTACGTAACCTCATTTGATATTTAGTTTCGAATCAATTTATGATGTAATTTTTCCTATCCTTCTATAGATATATATTTCCCATATAATTATATATATGGATGTACAGCTTAAGTAAATGATTTCATCGAAAAGAAAATTTTCCTCGGTGAATTCTCTATGGGTTATTTTAAATATCAAAAGAACTTTACTTTTATTTTTAACGTTTATGAAATTCAAATATGCAGTACCAACGTAGTAACATCAAAATTTCGTCCATAAAATCAAATATAAATTACTAGTCTTGTTTATGTAGATGAGGCATCCGTATTTTTAAGTATAAAGATAATAGAGTGCAAATTATATTTCAAGCATATTTTCTAAATTCTCAGAAATTATTATTATTTATTATTTGAACACATAGATATTGGTACAAGGAGGTACCAAATACATATGCACCACACAGATCTCATTTGATGTGTGTGAGGGCTGTGATACTGCCCGAGTGCCCAAACCGAGGCAGGTGAATTTCTTAGGGGATCACACCCGGAGCCTTCGACCTGAGGGTCTGATACACAAGGCAGTGCAACATCGTAAAGAAATGCAGTCCCATGGAAGCCGGTGACCAACGATTGGTTCATACGCCATTTGTATCTTCAGGATCGTGGGGCTCAAGTGCATCATTGGTTTGGAATCAGGGTTTTCCAATTCCCCTAGGTGGACTCTCCATGTCCACCAACCGGGTTAAAGAGTAGGACATTCTCTTTTCGTCCTCTCAATTTCGTAAACAACACCTCAGCCTCGAGAAGGTAGTGAGTAGGATTTCCCTGGCAGAGGCTATATACGTGTGAACATATGAAAGCATTTCGAGAGGGAGAGCGGAATATCCCCCCTCTCGGTCGTACCAGAAAACGTGAAAACTAATAACTACTAATAAAACACAATCGACTTTAACTCATTATAAATCAATCAGAAGCGTTTTACGTCTCAGATAGCACGATAAATCCCAAAACACTCATGCATTATTTATGATCAAATCACAATAATTGAAATTGATAAGATATAGCACCACTAACTATTCTTATTGATTAAAAAAATAAATAGAAGTTTAATTTATTTCATGTACTGTATACCAGAATGAAGTATATTTAACTGGGGTTTTTTTCGTTTATTATATTTGAATGTAATTTTGCCAGTGTGTTTAACACAACAGCATAGATACATACATTAATTCGTTTATTTGTTTATAGAAGGTCAATTCAATTTATTGAAAAATTTGTTTGTTTGTTTTTTCATATAAAGTACTGATTCATTTGCACATTTAATCTTTTATTCTTTTTTAAGTGTATCACAAAGTTACAAGAATTGAACTTTGAAATTAATAATCCAAATTCTAATCTGTCTACATCTACACCAAATTATCGTTTTGCTGAATTCTTCTTAAATAACTATCTACCTAATCGAAGTTATCGTGGTGCTAGACAATGTTTATTAGTTCACTTTAAAATGCAAAATGTTGTATCATCTGCAAATATAACTACATCATCATCAACACTGTCTAATAATAATAGTAGTGGAATAAATGGAGGAGCATGTTCATTAAATAATCCTTTTACATTTAATCCAGATGATTTATCACATTCAATGTCAGGTAAGTATTTTCTTTTTCTTTTTTTATCTAGAGGACAGCTTGTCCAGATTGATCGGCTTGAGAGGTCTTTAAGCATGTTGGTTCAATTTTAGCGATTAGGTTGACTAATGTTTTAGCCAAAATCTGGGAGTTAGACGTTATCCCATCTAACTGGTCACAATCACTTATCATCCCAATATATAAGAAAGGGTCAAAATCATCCTGTGACAACCACAGAGGGATTAGTTTAACTAATATAATATCTAAAATACTAGCCTCGATAATTATCAGACGCCTAACTAAGACTCGTGAACTGCAAACACGAGAGGATCAAGCTGGCTTCAGACCTGGTCGTGGCTGCATCAACCACATATTCACCATTCGTCAGGTTCTAGAACACAAACATGCTTATTGGCGTCCGACAATGGTGGTCTTTCTCGACTTAAAATCAGCATTTGACTCGGTAGACCGCGAGATTCTGTGGCAGTGTCTATCATTGAAATGCGTACCACAGAAGTACATAAACCTTGTGAAGGCTCTTTACTCGAACACTACTAGTCGAGTCAGAGCTTATGGCGAACTGTCATCTACTTTTGCAACCTCAAGTGGTGTCCATCAAGGCTGTCCACTTTCTCCATTTTTGTTTAACTTCATCATAGACCTATTGATGGAAATAACACTCGCGTCGACTGAATTCTCGAGTATTGATCTCGTTCCAGGAGGTCCACTTATCGACGTAGAATACGCAGGTGATATAGTCCTGTTCGGTGAAGACGCTGACAAAATGCAGTCTTTTGGTAGCACTGAGCAACAATGTCAGAATGTTTGGAATGCGCTTCTCTCCCTCTAAATGCAAGTTGTCGCTTCAGGACTGGTCTGCGTCAACACCTGAATTAAGGATAGGAAGTGAAATAGTCGAACGCGTTGACAACTTCACTTATCTTGGAAGTGTGATCAGCCCTAATGGGTTGGTGTCTGACGAAATCTCTGCACGGATTCAAAAAGCTCAGTTTGCTATTACCGACTTACGTCACCTATGGCGAAGGTGAGATATCCATCTATCAATAAAAGGACGAGTTTACTTCGCAGCAGCTCGTTCTGTTCTACTTTACGACTGCGAAACGTGGCCATTGAGAGTAGAAGATACTCGTAAGCTACTGGTATTTGACCACAGATGCCTTAGAAATATTGCTGGCATCTTCTGGGATCATCGGGTATGTAATTAGTAAGGTTAGACGCAGGGCATTAGAGAATGATGGTAAATGAGTTGATGAGGTTATGAATCTTCGTCGACTGAGATGGTTGGGCCACGTGTTACGTATGCCTGAACACCGATTACCACGACGCGCAATGCTGACTAGTTTTGCGAATGGTTGTAAGAAAGTTAGGGGTGACCAAACCAAAATGTGGCATCAGTGCTTGAAGTCACAAACTTCAAGTCTTAACCATGTTGGTAGATGCAGACTACTTGGTTGGTGTCCGTGTGACTTTCGTAACCAATGTCTGGAGACTGTGGATGACATGGCTCAGAATCGATCTCAATGGTGTAGGTGTACACACTCTGTCTTCTCTTAAACCATGAGATTGAAATTGCTTTATATCTTTCTTTCTACGAACTAATTCTTTCTTCCTGTACTCAATCCGTATACGCAATCTTTCTTTTATATATTACCACCACTGAATTAAGTACTTCTATGAGTCCGGTGTTCATGTTGTTGTGCTAATGAGGTATTGCAACTTGGACCGATGCATGTATGTGCTTGGTCCTACGTTGTAGCTGATTGACTAGAGGTTTAATTTAATCCTTCTGAATTTTTGTCGAGAATTTTCTGTTTATGTTTTTGATAAATAAGACTAGAGCTAATGTATGCGAGCGAGCGAGAGAGTGAATGATATATTAAAATTAATTAATGAGATAGTGTTTATAGCTTCATTGGATAATCATTAAATTAGTCTTAAATGGTTATTTCCAAAGGATTGTAAGTTAAAATGTCTTTGATCTAATTAAAATCTTCATAGATTAGGTATCCATACAATAACACAAATCTTCATACAATTCGATGTTAGAATGCTTAGTTACTTTCTAACTTTCTTTAAATCGAACTTCAATTATTATTCACTGAATGGTGTTAGTCAGTCATTTTATTTAGGGCATACGGTATATTTCGGTTTTGAAAGTAATAATCGACTGATGGTAATTCGAGCAACACTCATATAAATTAAACGTTTTATGTCTATAAATATGGAGCTTTCATTAATACTTAATCGAAAATAAATGATTTTTTATACAATTAGGCACAATATCTTAATCCGTTGCTATTTAAAACTTAACTGTCCACTTCAACTTAAAATTAATCAAGAATACAGTTCAGACATGTTCTATGTATACCATTTTATGAAAATTGACAAGTTTACGGAAATACATGAGGTAATAAACACTAAAATATTTCTCCACGTTCACTGACCAGTCACATGACCGGACATACAAACATCGCTGCTAGTTGGTATTCTGAGCTCTGCCTTATGGTTCCTGAACCACTGAGTAACACCATGTCTAGGACCCCAACGTGGGAGCTGTGATGAACCGATAGATTCCAGTTGTATACAGTTATCCTTCATACCACGACGATATGTTTTAGATATCTGGTTTTTCTTTCCGATCACAATGTCGACAAATATGATGAAGATAAAACTACTTGTTAACGAGTGAATGTTTAATCAATTACTCTCTTATTATTTTATTTTTAAGGATATGTACATACTTCAGTGGTTACACTTCTCACTTTTTTTAGTCTGTATGAATCTGATTAACCGCTGGATCATGGGATTGTTTGATGGTTTTTGGTCAAATCTACTAATTTTTATTTTTATCTTTGTAATTTGTCTACAAAATAATATGTAAAGTTAATATTAAGATTCATTTAAATCTCTTATTTTCTCTATACGTATTTCATTCACAGTGAATCCAATTTCTAGCTTACATCATCATGGTCCTAGTAGTCGAAAAGTAAAAAATAAGATGAAAAGTGCCGCTGTAGCTGCAGCTGCCGCCGCCGCCGCTGCAGCTGTCACATCACCTGTTATTCCTGGCAGTGCCGGTGGAGCTTCCCAATTCTGCAACAACGTAAGTGGAGCGTCAGGATCTATGTTTGGTGTTGGAGGTGGTAATGTCGGAGGCGGTGGAAATCCAAGTGGTGCCGTTGCTGGTGGCAGTACTGCTACATCAGCCGCATCTGTGGCTGCTGCTCTGAATCGATGCAGAGGTTATCTATTTTATCAGGTAAATATCCATGTTTTGATTATATACGTTAGTAGTACAATCTTTCATGTGTTGGTTTTAATGTTTGTTATTCAGAAATTGGGATTATTTATTTTAAAATAGTGATAACATTTATTATTATACTTTTGTGATATGGAAACGAAATGAAATTGTCATGAGCTACAGACTGTTATATCGGAAGAAAACTAAGTGGATGGTAACTCCCAGGAATTTTTTATCGACATCATCAAGGTGGCCTGCTTGAGCATCTGGGCTACCTGTTCCTGCCATCTAAATATTTCGACAAGTTATCTATTTTTGTTTGTTTTAATATATCATTATATCTATTAGTCGCACAACCTATTCTGCTGCGTTTCTGAAAAGTGTACAACCTTTCGTTGTCAAAGTTACAAAAAGCTCAAAAAGAGAGAATATTGTTGCTGGCAATATACAACGAAAAGAATGTACATTATTCAGATATTCATTTACTGGACTGTTAACATCTAGCTGGCGATCACTCGATATTTATCGCGAGGACCGACCAAGAAGAAAGAAACGGAAACTTGTTGAAATACTTTGTGCTGAGAATTCTATATTCTACCAATAATATAATATTGAATAAAGCTAATAATAATAATAATAATAATAATAATAATAATAATAATAATAATAATAATATGTATATTCTTGTTGTATAATTATTCAGTAAGTAGATTAATTATCTGTTTAGTTCTTTTATCATATTCTTTCAGCTGACCATTCAACCACTATTATACAAATTACTCTTCCTGATTTATTATTTACAGCCTCCCTTACTAAAAGCCGCTTTTGACTTGATTTTGTGTAATTGTTCTTTTATTATTTTATGGTGTGATGCAGTCTGGTCTGTGTATGCCTGAATTTTATTATTCACACAATGGAGAATGATTATTATGTTCTGGACTCCATTGGGTAGGGGAATGTGTGAATTTACTGTATTGAGGACTAATGAGGATTTAGAGTTGATTCAGGGCTACTGGTGCTGATTGGCATATCATTGGTTAACACAGGGACAAGGTAATAGAAATCGGTATCCCGACTAATGGTGTTGTCACGTATTATTTGATGGGGCCATAAGTCATAATATAGACATTAGTGTTTCAGAAAGAAGAGAGACTGCAAATGAAATATTTATTGGATTGTTTTTTATATCATTACATTTGTGGCTTTGTAAGCTTTTTTCACATGGTTTACCAAAATATCTTGTTGATGTTTCCCAAATATTCATCAACAGTGCAATTCACATTTATCTATCATTTTCTCTAGTGTTCTTGTCACTATTTAAACTGTTACTGGCTTTCATTTTTAACGCGAATAAATTTATGTAATTAATTTATCATTATCATTACTGACTATGTGGGCTTCAACTGTTTGAACTTTTGATAAGAGTTTGTAAATTATGGGAATGTCAGCTTTTCTCTCGACAACACTAACAAACATTTGTGATTAGAGAACCAGTCAGTCAGTCATTATTAACAACGTAGAATCTGACACGGTTGTGACTGTTCAAATTGCTTGACGTCACATCAACACAATGTGAGGAACTCACTATGTTTTGAAGGATAGGCTAGAAAGTAATATCATAAATAGTGATAGTCTACGTGAGAGAATGCTTAAAAAAACGACTCAAACACTAATGTAGTCAAACCAACCACAGTATACTATCACGCGACGCATCCCATTCTCTGAATACGCAATATTCAATCGATGGATTCTTCTATAAGTTGAAACAGCTGAAATACTGTTCCCAACTATTTTGCTGATATTGAAATGCTATTGTTTTAAAACTCAAAAGCGCTAACTACACTACTTTTATGACGGGGTTATTTATTTCGTTGTTGATAAAATAAAACTGGACTGGATGAGATGTCCGAATAAGTAATTTACCCAATGGACCTACAAAAGTGTATCGAATTATTCGCATCGGTAATCGTTTCCAGAATGCATTATTATGAATATAACTGTAGACGAACTACAGAAATCTAATATATATGTCAGGAGACCTATTTTTGTAATCTTTCTCCCGTTTAATTTATTCATGGATTTCGTTCTAAAATACCCCGATTGAAATATACAGTTTGAACCATCTAGTAACAGTAATTGAACTTGTGAGAATATTCTTGGATGAGCTAAATTCCTCTGCATAACCTTCCATATTAGTAAATTGATTGCAATGTTTCTGTGTTCAGTTGACTTGACTGAAATATATTTAATTTGGATGATCGGTTACGTAGCGTGAAACTCATCTAGTCTATCAGTACTAAGTAGTACTGAATCAATTTGAAGTTTTTAAATAGACGCTATCGAATAATAGTAGTGACTATCTCTTAGGCTTCAATAGTTAGATCTTTGTTATTTTATCATGTTTTCTAGCCATGAAAGCATTCAACTTGTTCCATACAGTCAGGTTTGACCAGGTGAATAGAGTGTCATTAACTATAAAATAGAAAACAAATGTGTAACTCACAATTGTATACCAAAAAATGTACTTATTGTGTTAACTTCCAAATATCTTACCTTTTTCGTTTGTTCATAAATCCTTTATGTAGCATCTACAAGCATGGCTCAATTTAATGTTATCATTTGACCGTAACGATACCAATCATACTAATATTACTACTGACTCCATTAACAATATATCAACGCATTTATCGCCAATCATTCATACTTTGAAATTTGCTGAAGATAGTCAAGCATCATTTTTACGCAAAGCTATTCGAGATACATTATCTGTACCGTCTGTCCAAATCCCTCCTATTTATCGTTCATCTGGATCACGTAGAACTTGTGCTGTTGGTGGTGGTAGTAACAATAGTAACAGTAGTGCTAGTGGAGGTGGAAATGTAGGAAATACATCATCGTCATTATCATCAACTGCCTCATCAGCTCTAGGATATCATCCGAATACAAATACTAATGCTAGTGGTAGTGGTTCTGGTACATCCACTACACATTATAATATTCATAACTCTGGACAGCTTTCCTCTCATAGTTTAACAGGTCATTCCACTATGTCTAATACTCCTGCTTTATTAACACATCATCGTTATCGTCATCATATGACATATGATTATGGTCAAAGTCAAAATTCCAATATTACTACTGCTGATCTAAGTTCAGCTTCTGGGTCAAGCACAGGTGTTGTTCATAGTGGTCCAATTATTCAGAAGAATCCCACACATATTGCTGCACTTCAAGTCAGTTTTATGTTTTGTGCAGATTTACAGATTTTTTTCTTTTTTAGACCTATCTACCTGTAATTAATGAGTCTTTTATGATCTTTTAAATTCAGTTACAAAACTTGTCTAGTCCTCTACATTTTGCTATAAAGCATCAATCAAGATATAGATTTTTTCTCAAAAGCCTACTGATATGAAGCGATGTTAACGTGTTCGTGTTTGATGTAGATTTTCCATAGTTAGGTGTGTTTTGCTTACCTAATTCACTCTAATTAATTAGATTTCTATCATATTATACGGTTGTTCGAGTACTGATGGTAATATATAAACTTGCTATAGGTGGACCCAGACCAGCCACTTGAGTGGGAAAGGAACTTTATTAAGTAAAACCCGATTGGTAATATGTATATGCACTCGTTCCTAAATGTACATCTTTCTCCCTTATGAAATAAAGTCATGTTTTTAACCTATGATATGCTTTTGTTTAGAAAAGGAAGCCAAATCTTGACCAATGTCGTGAGCTTAACTTAAGTCCTGTGTCTGGTCGATCTGTAGTGAACAAGAGTACCAGTGGGTATAATCGAATGTATTTGACACAAAATTACAGGACTTGTTAATAAAATCTGACAATCAAATAGTAAATGCTTAATTTGCAAAATGTCCATTAATTGTCTCAGAATGACTCAGACTTCATTGTTCTTGCATTTTCATACAAATTGCATCCTGTTTCTATTCTCCACTGTTCGATCCTCTTGTCTCTCTGCTGCCAAACATTCTGTTCAGGAGTAACGTCATATACTACTTATGTTGATATAAGTAGCACACACCACAGATCCAGCTAGTATATGTTATACATAATTGATTTATAAGTAGTAATGTTGTTTGTGTTGAAATTTTATATATATTTTGACTAAATAAGTAGTATGAGGGAATTTTTTTCGTTTCTCTGAACTATCATCTTTGTCTTGTGATATCAATTAATACCAATACAACTGTAATTTCTCACGAATCATCATTTGTTAATTAAAGATTTTGTAATCACTGTTTCGAATTGGACTATAATCTCTTCAACAATGTATTTATCTGAAAGTTTCCTGTACAGTTGACTATCAATGCAGGGTCAACTGTAAATAATCTACCTCTCCTATATTATGAAATATTTTTAGAATATAATGAAATGATATATTAAGCGATCTTCTACTACTCTAACTAATAGTTAACGGAAATTTATTTTATTTCATTTAAACAAAAACTGATACAATTAGGTACCAACTCCATAGGTGTCACACAAATCATTTGATTTGTGTGAGGGACGGAATACTACCTGGGTGCCAAAACCGAAACTGATGGTTTTCTTAGTGGGCCACTCCCCTCAGCCTTTGACCTAGAAGTTTAATCCACAACTCAGTGGAGCAGTGTTAAAAGATACAGTCCTATGGTAGCCAATGACCAACAATAGGTTCATACACTATTTGTTTCACTAAAGATTTCAATTCAAACATCTAAAGTTATTCACCATTATCTGCTATAAAAATGACAGATGAAAAATCAAACGAACATTGAAATTTAAGACTTAAAATGAAATCTTTCACAAAGATCACACTCAACTATACATGAAACACATTGACTTATTGAATAGAAAAATAACCATAAGTTCTGAACTTAACACATTACTTGGACAATTAAAAGAAAAACAAGAGGCAGATAACCTCAGTCTTTATTTCTTACGTTGATGAAAGCTTTTGCTGTAGAGATGTTTAAGAAAGCTAATGAATCTTCTTTTTTTTCTCTAAAACTTAAAGGAGTAATTTTCAACGATTAGATTTACAATATAGTTAATGTAATACCTAAATAATTTAAAGCTTCTATGTATATTTTTCTATTGTTATCAATAATAAACAAAAAAATCAATGAATAGGAACACAATATCAATCCAGATACCCTAATTACACCTGCAATGGTAATTAAAAATAAAGAAGAACGTGAAGCTCGTCAACGTGCTGAAACCTTATCAACTGCTAATCAAGTTAACTTATCGACTACTACTATTTCTTCTTCATCATCATCATTATCAACTAATTGTCATATTACTAATTCAAATTTAACAACTTCCACAGTTGGAATGTTTCAAGGGGATAATACGTCAGATTCAACAAATTCACAACAAACTGAAAATGTTTGTTTACATTCTCACACATCACATCCATCATCATTATCAGCATCATCAACATCATTATCGGATCATGTATATAAAACATCTACGTATACATATTCTGGTCTTACTAGTAGTAGTGAATCGTCAATATCCACATTTAATCTTCTTGGTTGTTCAACTACTTCTAGTTCTCTACCTACAACTTCATCATTTTCAAATGGACGAGCAAATGCACAATTGTCTTTTGCACATAATATATCCCATCGAGGAAGTAGTGTTATGGTATGTTTTCTTTCTTCTGTGTTGAATGTTTTATTTAAAAAATAAACGCATTTTATCATTATATATGAAACAGTTGATCATCAACCACACCAAAACATAACATCAGTTCATTGACAATTCGATTGAGCCATATGAATAGGTATAGACTACCTGGTTGGTGTTTATGTGATTATCGTAACTAATGGTTAGTGACTTTTAGTGAAATGTCTGAAAATCGTTTGTAATGGCGCAGGTTCATCCATTGATTGTCTTCCCCTAACTTATGAGCATCTGAATTTTTCATAACTTTTTGTTTTTATCTCAATAATGTATACTTTTTTTTCGAATCGTATCCTCGATGCTTAATTTTTTCAATCACCACTCATACTGTTACTATCTCTACTATTCTGGGATTTGGCCTGACGATTTCCTCTCTCTGTGTTAATGGAATAATGCAACTTCAATCGATGTACACACGTACTAGTTTCTACGTTGCGACTAATTGATTCTTCGATAACAGATGACGAATGTGATCCATAGAGATTAATTTTAGTTCGGCTTTTTATTTTTTCTTGATCATTACATTTATTTGCTTACTCTCAGACATCTATATTTGTGTGTATTACCTTCACACACACTGAACATTTATTTTTAAAATCAGTTATATATATATATTCGTAACTTGACAATTCCATATTCTGCTTTTTTTCCACATGAAGTTACCGATTCGTTCTGGATTCTGTCCTAATACCGTTACACCGTCAGGTTCCGTTTTATCGTTTACCAATCAACAGCAACAACCACATCGTTTAGTTGGTACACAGAATACTTCATCATCATCAATTGGTCATTATCAATTTCAACCTCGGCAAACATTATTAAATTCTTCAGTTGGTCGTCTTACCCATTTAACTTCAGGTTCATCAATCGTTAGTACACCTCATCTAACTGGTACTCATCATGTAATACCGTCAGGAGCAGTTGCATCAGTATCATCATCATCATTAACAGATGATAGTGGAAGTACACGAAGTGTAGATTTGAATTCTGGTAGTATTTTAATTCCTGGCAACTGGCGTACAGCAACGAATCCACGTTCACTTAACGTCCAAGTAAGTTTATCTAGTTTTCACTCTATAAATTTAATTAAATTCTGGTAACCATCATTTCTATTCATTTTGATAATTGGGATAATTTCATTTACCTTTTTATATTATTCAACATAGGAAGTACTGAGTAATTTTATTGAGGTCGCAGACCAGCTTAAGCTAGTTAAACAACTATTGGAAACCAGAAAATACTGAACAGCTGTTTCACTCTAATATCAAACTCCTCATCCACGGTCTCAATAACACTCAGCAATCTCCACTAACCACTACAGTGAATATCATCTTATAATCACTAGTGACTAATTTCAAGAAATGATTCCTGGAGTCCTAGTGAAAAGTCGTGACCATGTTGGATATGAGGTAGCTATTCACTGAAGACAATGATATATAATTGCATAATATTGAGAATTATTAGAGGTTAGATACGTAAACCATAGTATGGTATCCCAATAGCCTAAACATTAAACGTTCGCCGCGAAATCTGAATCTCCTGACGTCTATTTCTGGTGGGATCGCGCATACGCACTACTGAAGTCAAATTTTAAAATAATAAAGCTGTCCAGTGCTTTCTGATTTTCAATGGCTCTCCAACTTTGATTGGTTCGTGTACTCAATAACATTTAGGGATTTCCACAAATTCCTATACTGATGACTACTTTTTATTTTACGAAAATAATTCTGTATTTTCCGTCAGTCAACGAATGGTTATTATTATTTCAAATAAATATTAACTTTTCTCATTTTATTCATCATATAGACAATTGTTTCATCCACACCTACCGTTCTTCGACGTTCTGCTACATTTACCGGCATTGGTTTAAGTAATCAATCAACCAGTGGACTTCAAACTTGTCGATTGAATCCTACATTGTCTAATATTTCACAAAGTCTATCAACCACTCCATTCACTGGTACATATCTGAACACACAAGTTACAAAAATTCCGAATTCCACTTCTTCAACAGGACAATCTAGCTTTTATATACATCAACGTCCACAATTTCTGTCTAGTACACAAACATCTGGTTCTTCATCTGGACATGGTGTTCTTGCTACACCATCGAATATTGCTGTAATTCCTGGTGCATCAAATAATTATTCATCATCTGTTACACATATACCTCAAATTCTTCGTCCTAGAAATAATTCTGTAAGTTATAAATTGTTTTCATGAACAAATTTATCATTATTCATGGTTCAATAAGTATTTTCTATGAATAGTTTGATAGAAATTAGGCGCTAAATATATAAATGTTATTATTTAGTTTCGTATATTCTACATGGTTTCTTTACCATTGTTTATTGTTTTTCTATATTTTCAGCTTCGTGGTTCAATTGTTCAACCAACATTTGTACGAACATTTTCAACTGCCGGTGTTAGTGGTACAAGTGGTTCAGTTATACCTGTTTCAGTAACACAACATGGAACTCGTTTATCACCGAATGTAGTTGGTGGTGTATCTACAACAAGTATGTTTCTTGGACGTGTCGCTACACTAAATGTTTCTTCAAATAATCCATCCGTTTCTAGCATTCTTAATGCTTCACGTACTGGAACACAACGTAGTGTATCACCAACTGTTTTTCAGTCATTACGAACATGTATTTCAGGTGGTGCTGTAAATTCTGTTGGAAATGAACAACATTCATCATCACAGAGTAACAACAACAACAACAACAGTGGTATTAGTGGTGGCAGTAGTAAATAATAAATTGAAATATTACCATCTTTTTGACCTAAACTAAAAGAGGGTAACACTTAATTATTTATTTATCCATTGTACAATAATAACTCTCATGCAGTCATTCATTTCCGTTATATTAATTGTTTATATATATATATATATGTATAGATGGGTATCATATTTCGAATTAAAGTGTAACCTAATAACCAGTGATCAATGAAGAATTCGTACTTTTTTTCTTGATTATCTGAGAAAAATACAGTCAGAGTTATTGTTGTGGTTTCTCTCTTTCGCTCTCTAATTATACAACCTAGAAAAATAACATTGAACTATTATCTAAACGTCATATTGTATTTACTATGTATTTATGTTCACTTTCACAAACACACACACACACATGTCAACATGACTTGTTTATGGCTCTCATTCTATTTCTTTGTTATTTCCTCTTAATTCTATATGATTTCTTGATCGTATGTGTTATATAGTCCATATGTATATCCTCTGGTTTATAGTATCAATTATTTTCATTGTTATTCTTTCCATTTCTTTCACTGTGCAAAGTTCTGTTCCATACATTGTTAAATTGTATCAGCATTTTTGTTTGTTCGTTTAGCCCATTGTAAAAATATATGTATATGTAAACTGCAAGTTTCTTGTTTAGTTGCTGTTATAATTCTCTCTTATTACAACTCAGCTATTCCTGTTGCTTAGTAGTCTTGAACACCAATTCACTCGACGAAATCTCCAAATCAGAACACGATTGAACAGGAAAGAAATTATATTCGAAATAACATGGGTAGATGGAAGTAAGAAACACAATAAGAGATTCGTTAGTATATTTATAGTTTTAACATGATAAGATTCGAGAGTGTTCTCTAATTATCGACTAGCGCTGATTGGATAATAATTAACCAATCAATGTGCATCAACGCAATCGTGCATTGAGCATGCCTTAATCCAATCTATGTCCCGCTAACAGTTGTACTATTTTTTCTAAAATCGTTGTGAGATTATAAAGGTTAAAAAAAGGTTCTTTGATTTGTCTAATTTCATAGTTTCACAGGTTGAAATCGTGAGTCAGTTGAAGCTAGACCACCATTGAAAACCTGGAAGCACTGGACGGCCGTTTCGTCCTAGTATGGGACTCCTCAGCAGCGCGCATCCACAAACCCACTCCCCGCGGGATTCGAACCCAGGACCTACTGGCTTCGCGCGCGAGCACTTAACCATTAGACCACTGAGCCGGCATCCAACGGTGTTAATGTCTAATTTCAACCAATCCACGAAACGGCCGTCCAGTGCTTCCAGGTTTTCAATGGTGGTCTAGCTTCAACTGACATGATTTAAACCTGTGAAATTTCCTAAAATCTCCACAAAACTCATTCTGATAATAATTTCATAGTTGTTAAACCGTTTAAATTAATACTTTTGAATTTGTTGACGGGTACATGATTTTGTTCAAGGTTTGTCTTAATTATACGTCTAACACATATTATTAGTCGGACTCGGACTTAATGAATATGAGATACATATAATTTTATTCTTGAATGAGTTTCTGTACATATCTCCATTCAGGTTAGCTAATAAAGCCTCCTATGCGTTCCTCTCCTCACTCTTATAGGTGATTAATCTTGTTTATAGGAAGCGTATATATTAGTATCAGAATCGTACGACCGTGCAACACAACAAAATTCAATTCTTAGTAAAAAACATTTTTACATGTAATTTTAATAGTCCGATTCATGAGTCGATCTAAGCTAGATTACCATTGAAAACCTGGAAGCGCTGGGCGGGCATTTCTTCCTAGTTTTGGACTTTTCAGTAATGCACATCCACGACTCCTCACGTGGGATTCGGACCCACGAATCCTTATTCTGATTTCTACATGTATCGTTATGACTTGTATAATTAGCGATGTTTCATCTAGCCTTCAGAAAGTGGTGAGCATACATTGTTTTCAATAAAACAAAACATGCACTCATATTTTACATGGTTAAATTAGTTTAAAATAGATGGATTGTAAAAGAAATCTCAGGAAAATGTTTTAGTGCTAAGCTGAAATGATCGGTAATGTTTTTTTCCCTTGAAATTTCAAGCATTCAAATACAATCCTAATCAATCAGTGTGAACACCCACATTCAAATCTGAAAGTAGCTTTGACTACCTTGTAGGTCATTAGTAGGGGTTCTGACTTAAGGCCATCTATCGGTTTTTCAAGAATTATGATTAGTTTTTTGACATAAATTGTTTAAAATTATTGCTACATAACATCAGTAACTCGATTTTGAATTTATTCGCACTGAAGGTTAATTCTCTATGGTCATAAACAGTGTTGGTGAATATTTATCATCATTTACAAGTTCTCCTTTGAAGAGTTAAGAGGGCAGAAACATGACAGAATCATTGTTGTTACTTTGAATAATTCATGCGTAAAATTTGTGACGTATTTTAGTATTCTTACCTTACTGAATCATCTGTTCTTCAGTAAATTGGTAAATAAAATTATTTATTTACTAGTTTACTAAAAAACAAAATAGAATAAAAACAAAGCTGATTGATCCACATGTTATTTTTCATTTAGCATGTAATATAATGAGCATTTGATATAATGAAAACCCCTTTTTGATATTAATCAACATATGCTCACTAGTGACGGTCTCCAAGAGGTATTTCCTGGAGCTCTAGTGAGTAGCAGTGACCAGTGAAGTTCAACCGAATCTGTTGTGAGATAGTAACTCACTGAAGACAATGGTGTATGTATCGCTCAATTTGGTGAATTGGTTGAAGTTAGACATTAACACTGTTGGATGCTGGCTCAGTAGTCTAATGGTTAATCGCTCGCGCTCGAGACTGATAGGACCTGGGTTGGAATCTCACGAGATGGGATAGTGGATGCGCACTGTTGAGAAGTCCCACAGTAGGACGAAACGGCCAAAGGCGGCCTGCTTGAGCATCTGGGCTACCTGTTCCTGCCATCTAGATATTTCAACAAGTTATCTATTTTTGTTTGTTTTAATATATCATTGTGTTTATTAATCGCATAACCTATTCTGCTGCGTTTCTGTAAAGTGTACAACCTTTCGTTGTCAAAGTTACAAAAAACTCAATAAGAGACAATGTGGTTGCTGGCAATATACAACGAAAAGAATGCACATTATTCAAATGTTCATTTACTGAATTACTAACATCTAGCTGGCGATCACTCGATATTTATCGCCAGGACCGACCAAGAAGAAAGAAACGGAAATTTGTTGAAATATTTTACGCTGAGAATTCTATATTCTACCAAAAATATAATATTGAATAAAGCTGATAATAATAAAAATATTAGTACAAATGGGCACCGAGAACATGTGCGCCACAATTCACATGATTTGTGCGTGGGCTGTGATAATCCCCGTGAGTGCCCAAACCGAAGCAGGTGGTTTTCTTAGGTGGCCATACCCGGAGCCTTCGACCTAAAGTTTTGATCCACAAAGCAGTAGAGCAACGTCAGGAGATGCAGTTCTTTGGTAGCCGTTGACCACTAACTGGTTCATACGCCGTTTGTTTCCTCAAGATACTGAGTCCCATGTACACCATTGGTTTGGAATCAAGGTTTTCTGACTCCCCTATATCCACCGACCCGGTTAAAGTGCCGGTTATTCGCTCTTCGTCCTCTCAATTTTGTAAGCAACAGTAATGCCGCGAGAAGACGGTGTATGGAACGAATGTTATACCCTTGAAAAATTTCACTCCCCATTTTGACGCTTGCCTTTACTGATGTGGGCCTTCTCGATGCTCGCGATGTGACTCTTTTGATAGTTCATCTGTTGCTCGCTCTCTTATTAATGAACACCTCAGTAAAATATGTCCACCTCCAAAAATGTTTGTTTTCAGATCACGGAGGTTTTAAATGCAAATGTAAACCTGATAAATATCTTGTAAGCTTAATTCATTTATAATTTGTATTGTATTATTTTTCACGTGTATAAGCGCTTCTTGATTATTTACTCGTAAATCTTCGTAAAATACTTTGAAAGTTCAATGTCTAAGATTAGAAACACTGAGTCAGTTATAATCAGTGTAGAGCGAAAATGTTCTTTAGCGCAAGTCGTAATATCACATTAGCACAAGGGGATGAGATTGATAAGATAAACGGCAAAGAAGTCAGAAGAATGTAGTATCAACAATAAAGAAAAAACATTGAGAACATAAATCAGACAGCCAGAATGAAAAGGCATATAGAAAAGTCTTCTGGAACTCAAAATTTAGAGTAAGGTAAGATGTGAATGCATCTATTCCATTATGATCGATTCTGAGCCAACTCATTTAACTAGTGATCTTGGTTGTTTGGTAACTGATCAAGTTTGCTACATTTACCAAAATGGCTCTGACTAACAGTCAATAACTGTATAGAGTGGTGCCACTTCTTAGATTACATTGTCTCTAAATTTCTTCGAACACTAGCTAATATTACCGGTCGAAGTAAGTGGTTGTTAGGCATAGGTAAATCATGTCTCAACCACCTCAGTTGATAAACGTTTACATTATCGCCAATCGATTTATCATCTATGTGTAACCACAGCATCTTCTAATTGGTTGCTTTACAACAAGCGACTAGTACTTCAAAGACACTTATTTTAAAATACCTGCAGTCATCTACACATGACTTCTGCTTTCATAAACCATGTCACACCTTCATAAGTGAATACAGAGTTGGCTAAAGACATCCTGACATTTTTAATCCATCATGAGTTTCGCCAGATATGAATGTAGTAGGGCTGATGAGGCATCTAAGATAAGTTGACGCACTCGATTACTTGACCATCAATTATTTAGATCAGCTCTGAAGCAACGATTGAATAAATGAATGTCTAAATAGACTATCAACATTTAAACGTTTAGAGAAACTTTTCAAAAATATGGGTTCTTTATTTCTAATCTAGATAATATAAAAATCATCTTTGGTGATGAAATAGTTTTTCTAGCCTCCATTCATACAATCTAGCTCTGAAATTTAAGACTGAATTACATTTGTAGTTCCATGTTAAAAAAGTTCAGATTAGTAGTTGTTCTCTGTTGGTGCAAATCGGACAGGTAGTCACGATTAAAATAATGCAATTTTAAGAAAACTGAATATAGCGAAGATAAAACAAACCTTGATCATGATCAAACTGCTAGTGAGCCATGCTTGTAACGGACTAAGTTAATTTTATAAATAAAGA